TTACCAACATGTGTTCTTTCTGTGTTTATTCATGTTATTATACATGTAAAAAATATGTTTACATAAAAATTCAATGTGTTTAATTTATCTGCAAGGGCAATGTCTTAGCTGTTATGATGGTGTAGCTGGTGTGGTTAGGAGAGAGTCAGAAAAACCACAGCATCTGTACAGTGTAAGTCCATCTCTCGTGTGTTTCCCACCCCCCGTCGCCCCCTGCCAAACAGGGCAGCTTCATTCCCCGAGCCGGGGTTTCCATTCAAACAAAGTGACCATTTCTGGAGTTGACATTTGTGTACATGAGTTTGCACGATGATTTCTTTTGTGTACATCCCACAAACTAGACTCTGATGCATGGCCTGCAAGGAGCCAGGGCGTGTGTTGACATGGAACTGCAATTCCTGGAAACCAAAGCAACAAGCTGTGCTTCATAGTGTTGCCGCTATATCATCATACGGTGATATATTGTACGATATAAGACCTGAAAAAGGATAAAGATATTGCACAATAGATATTGAGCACTATTTTTTTTTTATCTTTGCTCATGTGAATTTGTTTTATTTCCCAACAAAAAATAGCATATATTTAAATTACAAGCTCGTTGAATAAAGTTGTAAAGAGATATTATCCGTTCAAGTCTTACTTATCATGGCAGTGTTGGTTACATGTTCTATGATGAAAACACAACCATTTGGAAATCGCAATCTCGTAGCACATCACCATGTATAAAAGGATGGGCCAAGAAGTTGATGTCAGAGAACTACTTCTGAATTATGAGGTCACTTCACAAGACCTCTTTCCCTACATTTGGGGCACACCTTTCAATTCCCTACACAAAGCATTCATCACGTGTCAATTGCACGTTTTTTTTTTATTCAGGAACCTAGAGAGTACCAAACTAGGTATAATTTGTTTTGTGCAGTCAATGGTGATCGGACTGAAGCCCTCAACATTGCTATAGACAAAACCGTTAACTATTTAATCAGGTGGTTTTATTTTCATGCTGGTTATTGGTAATGTACAGAAATATTTGAACTCGAGAGCAGACTAATAACGCACATTAATGACTCTCTATAAATGATGATCTATTCACTATTGAATTGCCAAAAAAAGTAGAATTTTGCGTGCAAAATGAGACCATTACTACTCCCAAAAAAACATCATCTCCATCATCGGTCAAGTGCTGGTACTGTGCATTCTGCTGGCAAACATTGGTACAGATTAATTGGCTGCTGAACTTAATTATTTTAGGTTATAATTAAGCGAATACGCATGTGCCTTCTGGTAATGTAAGTAAATTCTGAAGAAAATAGGTTTCATATCGTATGCTAGATATTTTGCTTTAATCTTGTATGTCGCTGATGAATGCCATAAGTAAATCAGCTTTATGGGCGAGATGTCACAAAAAAATCTCCATTGTTATTGGAGCATGTTATTGTTACCTTGGGCAGCAGAGGGCACTGCAGCGAAATCAATGGTTGGACTGCACTTATGTGCTATGCTCCCCGCCTTCACCAACACGCATTGACCAGCGCAGTGAAGCATGGTCAAACAATCCCCGTGATCATCCAGCAGTGGATTGACAAAACCTCTGCATGAACTGCTATAGTGCAATGTCAGACCATACGATTAAGATGATGATTTTTTTAATAGAGCGCCCTCCCTTACATGTTATGTATATCGTTTATTGTTAAATTTGAATCACAGTTCCTATAATCACTGTTACATTGTTTTTATAGCTTTATTTTGGTGATTTTGAAAACCTTTTGGTTTAGCCATGTTTGTTTGTTGTAGTACAGAGTTAGCCTGATGACTTTAATCTAAATTGTCTTATGGTTATTGTTTGACTTGCATCCCAATGGGATTTTGCACACAGCGTTGAAATGCGTTGTTTTTTCTGGAAGACTTTGCTGTTTTTTCCTGGATTTTTCTGTTGCGTGAAGTCACTTTAAGATGTTTCTTGTTCATGTTTTTGTTTGTTGCGGTTGCACCCGAGTCAAGAGCCGCATGGCTCACAGGGTTATATCTAACAAATGAAACTGAAAACTGAAACCTACGCCAAAGGGTCTTCGAGCGCTTGACGTCTCAACTCATGACATTTGAAAGGGCTCTCCCAGTGCTAGCGGCAGAGGTCGCAAACGGGTTTTGATTCCTTACCCATACCTATACCCGGCCGCACCAGGGTCGCAAACGGGTACCCGATTGCGACCTCTGGGATGAAGCCATGTTGCATGCGCGGGTGGGTTGATTCTAGGAACTTGATTTGTGAGAAGAGACAAGACGTTGGGAAATGAGTGACAAACGGTTACTCACCAGTGACTCACGGCCTACCCGTACCCGGCCGCACCAGGGTCGCAAACGGGTATACGGGTAGCCGGGTATCGGGTAGAGTACCCGATTGCGACCTCTGGCTAGCGGTGCCTGGGTCGCCTGTGTGGCACAGCTGCCACTGAGGCCTGCAAAATGGGAATTTTAGTCTGCCAATACGAGCAGATAATTTTTAGGTGTATTCGTGACGTAAAAAATATATGTATTTAATTACAACCAGTACAGGAGACCATGTAATATCGCGGGTTTATCGTTCGCGGACATCATCGTAGACCAATTAAGCCAGTTGTTCTTCACTAATTTTCAGATAGGGGTACACGTTTGCCAATGAGGCATCAGTGTGAGTTGCCCGCCACACATCCGAAACCCATGGGGCTTCTTGACAGCAAGACGGGAGCGCTCCCACTCTTTGTGTATTGCCTGATGCCGCGTGTCAAGGGGTCCTCGCAATGAATACCGATTTTAAGCTCTCGCGGGCATTGTTTTTAGCCTTTATTCGCGGCTATGAAGGACCCGGGAGGTGTGCACGGCACCGTCGTCACCGCCGTTGGGCGTGAAGCGGGAATCGAACTTGGGTGGGTCGGGTTCGGAGGCGCAGCGCGCTTTTAACCGAACACAACGAATGATCTCCCACCCCCCCCTCTCCGTACGTCCTCAAACAGGCTTTTTTAAATCCTTTATTAAATCCTTTATATTAAGTTCACTTGCTTGCTTGCTTACGACCGTGCAAATCTTTCGGTCGTTTTTTAACCCACTTCCCGTGATCCAATCGAGCTGACATTTTGCACACAGACTCGTTGTGCGTGACAATGTATTTTCGTGAAAAAAATTTCCAAAATTTTACAGTTTAGGGAAAAAAAAGTAAATATTTAATTACCAATTGCTTAATGGTGGCAATCATCTGACCCATAGGTGGCAGCCATCTCAAGCCAGAGGACGAGAGGACTCTAGCCGCCCGTTTCAAAGACCGATGTGGGCTGGGTTGTGGCCCATTGAACACGCATATAAAGGATTTATAGTGAAAAACTTTGTTTTAACGGGTTAATTTTTATACTGGTAGGAACCTTCTGGTTACACCAGTCCACAGGGGATTATTGTGTCCGGCCGTCCGTCGTGAATCCAAAAATGGGAGTGGGGGCTGGGTGGGGGGGGGGCTGGGTGGGGAGGGGCTGGGTGGGGAGGGGCTGTGTGGGGAGGGTGGGGTAGGGCTGGGTGGGGAGGGTGGGTCTGAGTGGGGGGTGGGGCTGGGTGGGGGGGTGGGAGGGGTGGGGCTGGGTGGGGAGGGGCTGGTCACCCCGTGGTGCCCTTATAAAACTCAACGTTTAACCTACTCACGCCGGCTTGTGCCCGCCCTCAAAGTCGGGCATATTTGCGGAATACACCACGCCGCCGTTGACCCTGCAGGCCATTGACCGAGCAACCCAACGTTCCTACCAGCTCCCTCCGCAGGACAATGTTTATTACTTTTATTTAACTCACTGTTGTTGTTGTCGTATCCTCAAATCGTGTAACTCAATTTTAACCCACTTTACAATGTGATATCGACTGCAAACTTGGTATACTTATGTCATACTAATGACAACACTATATTCTATCAATTTTTTTTACATTCATTGTTTTAATATTATGTTTCGGCTTGGGTCTAATTGTCCACGGTCCCTTACGTTACAGCAAGCCTCGTGGCCACTTCCTGGAGTCGTGGAGTTCTACCATTACTAGTACGGTACATTTCATTAAAGCGTGTTGTTAAAAAGTTTACTTAAATCTTACTTATTTATATATACTCTTTGGGTCTTTCGTGACTTTATCGAAAGACCCAACGAGTGTGAATTCCTGCAGTCACGAAAGCTTCAAGTCAAGGCTTTGCTGTTGAGGGCGGTGGGGGGGGGTTCATCTTCTTGGTTCTTTCGGTAAAGTCACGTAGAATAGAAATAATAAAATAACAAAATAAAACATAATAAAATAATTCTCACGACGTTTCGGCCACAACGCAAGCAGCCGTCCTCGGGTGAAGACCAGGTCTGTCGGGGAGCACCTACGAAGGCCGGCGCGGTGGCACACGAGGGGGAGGGTGGCCAGCACCCCACGCCCGGCCGCCTTTGTCTCCCTAGTAGCGGTGTTTTGTTGTGGGGGTGGGTGGGGGGATGGTGGGGCCCACTGGGCAGGGTGCAAGATGATCCGTCGCCGCTGAGCGGGAATCCGTCGCCGTCGAGGACGAGTCGCGGTATTCACCCTCCTGCACACATCGCCTCGCGACGCGTTCAATTCCTCCATCGCATCTGTCGCGTTGCCTTCCGCACTGCCCCTTACCAACATGGCCACCGGAGCGCTTCCTCCCCGACCATCGCCCCGCCCCCTTCTGTCGCCCCGCCCCCTTCTGTCGCCCCGCCCCTTTCGTCACCCCGCCCCCTCCGTCGCCCCGCCCCCTCCGTCGCCCCGCCCCCTCCGGCGCCCCGCCCCTTTTGAAGCCCCGCCCCCCTCCGTCGCCCCGCCCCCTCCGGCGCCCCGCCCCTTTCGTCGCCCCGCCCCCTCCGGCGCCCCGCCCCTTCTGTCGCCCCGCCCCCCTCCGTCGCCCCGCTTCCCTCCGTCGCCCCGCCCCCTCCGGCGCCCCGCCCCTTGCGTCGCCCCGCTTCCCTCCGTCGCCCCGCCCCCCTCCGCTTCGCCGGTGACGTCACCGCGAGCGCGGCCGCCGCTTCCTGCTCCCCCGTCGTGACAAGACGCAATGGATGTCAATGGGTACCACCACCACCACAACAACAACAACCACCACCACCACCACAAATCTCCGCAGCAGCAGCAGCATAAACAGCACCAACAGCAGCCGCCCGAACAAACATCGACCGCCGCCAAAGACTACGAAGCCCTCGCCGCGAATGTGTTCCGTGCGGCGAGCGAGGGCAAGGCCCTGACGCTCGCCGCCCTCCTGCTGGACAGGAGCGCGGACGAGGAGCGCTCGGCGCTGGAGCACAGCACCCGCCTGGGCGGACAGAAGGCGACGCCGCTCATCGCCGCCGCGCGACACGGCCACGTCGGGGTGGTGCGGCTGCTGGTGGAGCACTACCGCGTGGACACGGAGCAGACGGGCACCGTCAAGTTCGACGGATACGTGATCGAGGGCGCCACGGCGCTGTGGTGCGCGGCGGGCGCGGGGCACTACCCCGTGGTGAACTTCCTCGTGTCCGAGGTGTGTGCTTACTACGTGGGTGGCGATGGTGAAGAGGTGGTGGTGGGGTTGGTGGTTGTTGAGATTTGAGATGAGGTTGACAGGGTGGGGTGACAGGAATGGACGAGTGAGAATGTGGTGGGGGTGGTGGTGGTTGGGGTGGTTGTGAAGGTTTGAGATGATGTTGACAGGGTGGGGTGATGGGAATGGACGAGTGAGACGTGGTGGTGGTGGGGTGGTTGTGAATGTTTGAGATGATGTTGACAGGGTGGGGTGATGGGAATGGACGAGTGAGACGTGGTGGTGGTGGGGTTGGTTGGGAATGTTTGAGATGATGTTGACAGGGTGGGGTGATGGGAATGGACGAGTGAGACGTGGTGGTGGTGGGGTTGGTTGTGAATGTTTGAGATGATGTTGACAGGGTGGGGTGATGGGAATGGACGAGTGAGACGTGGTGGTGGTGGGGTTGGTTGTGAATGTTTGAGATGATGTTGACAGGGTGGGGTGATGGGAATGGACGAGTGAGACGTGGTGGTGGTGGTGGTAGTGTTGGTGGTTGTTGAGATTTGAGATGAGGTTCAGACGGTGGGGTGACGGGAATGGGCGAGTGAGACGTGATGAGGGTGGTGGTTGGGGTGGGTGGTTGTGAATGTTTGAGATGATGTTGACAGGGTGGGGGGGTGACGGGAATGGACGAGTGAGACGTGGTGGGGGTGGTGGTTGGGGTGGGTGGTTGTGAATGTTTGAGATGAGGTTGACAAGCTGGGGTGACAGAATGGACGAGTGAGACGTGGTAGTGGTTGGGGGTGGGTGGTTGTGAATGTTTGAGATGATGTTGACAAGCTGGGGTGACAGAATGGACGAGTGAGACGTGGTGGTGGTTGGGGGTGGGTGGTTCGCAGGTGATGCGAAAAGGTGATTGTGGAGGTGACGGGTGGCGGTGAGGGTGACAAGTTGGGTTTGTGCATGTGTTGAACTTCTTTTGCACCGTACACAGCCAACCGTGCTATTCAGAGGTGTTATTTGATTTGTTACACGGATGATAGCGTTTAGCTGGTTGCCCAGCTATTTTACAAGGGCGATCCATGGTTCGTGAGCACAGCGGCCCCAAAAGGCAAAAAACTACACGAATATTAGAATAAGTTTTCCCCTTTTGGCAACAAAACAGGTGTTAAAATGTTAAAACAACGAACTGAAACCTTTTACAAGGAATCATACTCTGAGTGTTTTTGTTTGCATTTTGACCACAAGTATTGTGGTTAATGCAGACATGATTCCTTGTAAAAAAAGTTTAAGTTTGGTGTTTTAACATCTTGAACAGCTGTTTTGTTGCCAGAAAAAAGGGGAAAACCTATTCTCATATTTTGGTACTGGCAAAGGAGGTCCCATGATCCACGAATATTGTATTGCAGAGTTACAAGTACATCGTAGAGTACTTAAGGGATATTGCACAACTAATAAACGAGGTATTTGACCGTCGTAAACGAAACACTGGACTAAAAAAAAGTGCAAATATATGACAGCAAGAGCCGCCAGAAAAAAAGTTAGGTACAGGTGCAAGTTGGTGTAATGTTTTAGTCTTAACAGTGACATAAATACACGCAAATAGAAAAAAGACAAGGTGGGTGAAGGGGTGAGGGTGAGGGAAGGTCGCAGTGAGAATGACATTTGAGTCGGGTGCAGTGAAGAGGTTGAGGATGAATTTCAATTTAAAGCTTTCGTGACTGCAGGGATTCATCTTCTTGGTTCTTTCGGTAAAGTCACGTAGAAGGGAGATAATAAAATAATAAAACATAATAAAATAATACAATTCTCACGGCGTTTCGGCCACAATGCAAGCAGCCGTCCTCAGGTGAAGAACAGGTCTGTCGGAAAGACAGCGTCTGGAAAGACAGCGTCTGGAAAGACGCTGTCTTTCCGACAGACCTGGTCTGGAAAGACGCTGTCTTTCCGACAGACCTGGTCTGGAAAGACGCTGTCTTTCCGACAGACCTGGTCTGGAAAGACGCTGTCTTTCCGACAGACCTGTTACTTTACCAATAGAACAAAAAAGAAGTTGAGGGTGATCGAGCTAGTGGTTGAAGGTGAGCGTGATTGACTATGGCGTATTAATGTTGAGATTGGCTGAATTATGTGAAGCAGGCGTTGTTGTGACTGGAACGTGAGGAGGCGAGGTGGGCGCGGGTGAGGCAGTGAATGATACAGGTGGTGATTGACGTGGTGTCTGAGGGACAGATGTGGGTCCGAGTTGAGGGCATCAGGTCAGGGAGGGCGGCATGTGTGAAGGAAGGCATGGAAAGGCATGGAAGGTGAAAGTGGAAGGGAGGTGGTTGAGAGTGACATTAGAACGAATTGTGGGTGGGAGGAATGGTGTGAGTGATACCGTGAGGGTTATTAATATGTGAGGCAGGAAGGGTTCGTGGGTGACAGGAATAGGTGGATCATACAGTAAACCGCTGTAGTCTCCACTCCTTCAATGGGGGAATAGCAAAACTACACAAACTCTCCTGAAGCCCTCTCGTGGCTATCAGACCTTGACATTTAGCTTCTGAACAATATTGCCATAAGCAAGAATATATGACAGCTGAGGAAGTATGATTGGTACGGTTTATAGGTGTGGGTGATAGATGAAGTTTGAGGATGAATGAGAGTTTTGACAGGTGAGGGGGGTGACAGGTATGTGGAGTGCAAGGGTGGGCGATTGAGGTGGTACTACAGTGAAGATTGAGGGCATGGGTGAGTGATGTGGGTTTACGGTTGACAGGTGTTGTTGAGGGTGACGTGTTGGTTACAGGTTTGTCTTTGACAGGTGCATGAGTGTAATGGTGAGGGTGGGTAGGTGAGTATTATGTCGTGGGTGATGATGTAAATGAGTGCCGATGTGAATAGGCAATAAATCCCATAAGCACCATCATCAACGGTCGACAAAAAATCCAACATCCATGCATCCTAAATGAAATCACTATCTTGCACTTGCGGTAAAGCCACATAGATATAAAAAAATAATTTTAAAAAATTCTATCTACGTGGCTTTACTGAAAGACCCAAAGAATATGAATTCCTGCAGTCACGAAAGCTTTGTCAAGATTGATCTTGCACTTCTTCACAGGCTCATGCCAACGTGAACCACATAACTGTGACGAGCTCCACCCCTCTGCGCGCCGCCTGCTTCGACGGCCGCCTGGACATCGTGCGGCTGCTGGTGGAGCACCGGGCCGACGTGTCCATCGCCAACAAGTACGGCAACACATGCCTGATGATCGCCGCCTACCGTGGCCACGCCTCGGTCGTGCGCTTTCTGCTGGGCCAAGGCGCCGACCCCAATGTGCGGGCGCACTGTGGCGCCACGGCACTGCACTTCGCCGCCGAGGTGGGCCATGCCGATGTGGTGTCAGCGCTGCTGGCAGCGCGGGCCGCGATCCTGCCCAATGATCATGGCATGACTCCACTCAAGGTGGCTGCCGAGACCTGCAAGGTACGGACGGGACCCATCCCTGTGCACGGCATTGCCTCGTATAGTGCGTTAGTGCCGGAGTTCTGTGTTTTGAGGTGTTGGCCTTGATGAAAATAAATTTCCATTCTCGCAATGCAACAAATTGATTCATACAATTTATGATTACAGTCTGGAATTATATAGCATTTAAATGTGAGGACGATGCACATGAACAGTTGGAAAACATCCTTAAAAAAAATATGGTACATTTAGGGAAATGGATTAACCAAGACTTCAAACGAGATAGAAAAAATGAGAAAGATTACAAATGAGATAGTAAAACGTACAAAATAATTGATTCTGAAATTATATTGTCATTGATTCTACCACAATTTGCAAGTTGAATGCCTGCATTCACATGTTATTAATATATCATGTTATATTCACTCGCAAAATAGAATTGCCTTTGTAAAGAAGGTAATTCATTATATAGTTGGTGTTTTTCCCGATTCATAGGTGAGAATGGTCATAAGTCATTTTTGTGTTTTCCATTTATCTATATTAATTATCCTTAATGTGACTAGCTTAGATTGGACATGACCACAGTATTGGGTGGTCTGAACTTTGGGTACTGGCAGTGGAGCAAAATATTGATTTTAATATAATGCACAATTCATGAGCTATTAATCAGAGGTTATTTATAACAATACACTCCAGTTGAACATATATGTCTTCTGTCCCACTGCCCTTTCTCTTCATAATCTTACATTTTTTAGGTTACTGCATAAACATGTCCAGAGCTATGGTCTGTCATACCATCAATTCACTTTGACAGCTGGGGTCCGTTGCGTGTAATCTGCGATGACCTCTGCATATGCCCTCGTCCCAAGTCTCGCTGACAGTAGCAGGTGCAGATTCATTGGTCGGGGTGGCATTGCAATCAGTCACCATATGAGTAAGCAGTATTAGCTTCTCTGGGCTCTTGCAGAAGAAGTCCTAGTTATTGGTCGTTCGACCACAAAAATGCGTGGCTCTGACTAAAGCATTGCAGTCTTCAAAGTGACCCTTGTCCCCAGGGAGCAGAGTATCCTCAGGGGCTCCTGATTGCAAGAGTGATGGAGATGATGATTGGTGTCGATGGTTAGTTTTGTGTTTGCGATCACCACCATAGTAATTTTGGCCGTTGCATTGTCCATTCCAGGCAGATGTGGTTCAACTCTTCCTAGACTCGGGTGCCTGCGACAGGGAGTCACGCATAGAAGCCATGGAGCTGCTGGGCGCTTCGTTCGCCAACGACCGTGATCACTACGACCTGGAAAAGACGTTCTACTACCTCTACCTGGCCATGGCGGAGCGAACCAACGCCAGGGGGGTGGCGCTGCCCATTCCCAAGGAACCGGTGGCTGCGCCCGTGGCGGCGTATGGCGGGCGCAGCGAGAGCCGCACGCTGTTGGACCTGGAGAATATGCGGCACGACCTCGACGCACTGCACATGGAGGGTCTCATCGTACGCGAGCGGATCCTCGGGCAGGACAACGTGGACGTGTCACAGCCCATCATCTACCGCGGGGCCGTGTACGCCGATGGGATGCAGTTCGACCGCTGCATCCAGCTGTGGCTGCGTGCACTGGAGTTACGCCAGCGCAACAATCGCTGCACGCAGAAAGACCTTCTGAGATTTGCGCAGGCAAGCAATATTCACTCCTGTTTTTCCGCATTCCTGAACAACTTTTGACCCTTGTTGACTACGCAAGGGAATTTAAACTAATGCCAACCTATGTTAAAAGTACGGCTAGGTGTATATATTTTTGAAGGCCACTTTTTATTTTTATTAGAAAGCTACTCTGTGTTTAAAATGTTTTTTATAAACTAAATCTAAGAACATAAACGATGAACTTATGACCAAATCACCAAGAAAGAATCTAATCTCAGGTCTTCGAGGACTAACCAAGCTGACTTTACCCTACATTCTGCAGTGCTATGTGGTGGACAGCAGAGGGCAGTTGAGCAAAATCCATTGTTGTACAGTATTAGTCTCCCATATCTATGCTCCCCACTTTCACCAACCTGGACTGACCAGCGTGAAGTATTGCATTGTACAATAATACCTGCAGCCCTCGGTGGATTAACAAAAGGGAATGTGCATTATAAATTGTGTTTCGCGGTTACTGGGGAGGTGTAATGCTGATCATTTCAGTTCAAGCATTATTGACTTGATAAATTACACTGATCAGAGTGCCACGGTGCCGAGAGGGAGCACCACAGTGGCAAAGATGAACTACCTTGCCTGGTATACAGGATGTTGGGGGTTGGATCCCAACCCTGACGCCTGTGTATACCTGAAGTTTGCACGTTCTCCCCGTGATCGTGTGGATTTTTCTTCGGGTCCTCCGGTATTTGGCTGCTCTAATTTCCATATAAGCCACTTTATTAAGGTATCATTTATGGCCAGGTTGCTTATGAAATAGAGCTTTATAGCTCAGTGGGCTTTCCCTGGTAAAATAAAATAGTAAATAGTAATAGATATACTGTAAACAGTGTTGACCCTAGTCCACCATTAATGTTGAACTTGTTTCCGCCATGTAAATCTGGTTTGACTTGTCAGGCAGTCACCGGTTGTTTTTTTCGTGCTAAAAAAAGTACCCATTTTTCTTGAATATATTTTGCCATTTGAAATGATTTTAAAGATATATTTCCTTTTGGCTATTGGTACCTGCCAAGTTTCAATTCTACCCCACTTCACAAGTGTTATAGATTTTATTTACTGAATTATGACATTTTATATCCAAAGGAGGCGACTTCATAGCTCACACCATCCATAGCATTTGTTGTTTACAGGCAGAAAGCTGCATGGCATTGTAGAATATAATAATAGGTTTTTTCCTAATTTTTCTGGCAACAAAACAGGTGTTAAGATGTTAAAACACCAAACTGAAACCTTTTACAAGGAATCATGTCTGCATTAACCACAATGCTTGTGGTCAGAATGCAAACAAAAAACATACTCTGCTCAAAGACGTTCGTCTTTGAGCATCACTGTACAGTATATGGTAAAACAATGTGGGAGCGGTGGCGCTGGGTTTAGAACATCGATGGTGAGTGATATTTGAACCTTTCCTGAGGGACCCCCTTCACCAGTCAGCACGGAGCAAAGTGGTAAAGTATGGTAAAAAAACACATATGACATTTGCACAAATTGTAATTAACTCCTGTATACATGATTCGATGCACGTCATGTGTGAGTAAGAATTTATTTAACCCGACAATTCGATGCATCATTCCACGCCTAACACCTACATGTTTTTAGGTTGTCACTTCTGTCGACCACCAACCACATGGTGGGAAATGGCTGAGGGGGGGGGGGGGGCCGGGGGGGTTGGCATTCCAGGCTGACCTGGACTCGAATGATTGAGGCCGATCTCAGACATCATCATAATCTCAGCCTGGACTCGGTGTGACGTCGGGAGCAGGACAGGGTTGCCTGGCAATGCATCGTGAAGACCGCTACGCCCTGGCCCAGGCGACCTGCGTTTCATTTATTAATTGGGAGTGATCACGAATACGTACAGTCACTAACGCCAGCCCATCCCGCCTACAGGTCTTCTCGCAGATGATCCATCTGAACGAACCGGTGCCTCCCGAGGCATTGGAGCGGGTGCTGGAGAGCTGCATCGCAGAGGTGAAGCGTAGCGTGTCGGGCGTGCAGGCCGCGTGCCAACACGACATGCACGCTTCTTGGGACATGCACGAGGCCAACCTGCACACGGCGCTGTACCTGGTCTGCGTGGTGACACGCACGCGCACCAGCGAGGAGCAGACGCTCAGACTCAATCGCCAGATCTACCGGCTGCTGCGCATGGACGCACGTACCCGGGATGGCTCCACGCTGCTGCACCTGGCGGTGCACAGCGAGACGCCGGTCGACGACTTCCATACGGACGCCGTATGCTCCTTCCCAAGTGCGCCCGCCACACACCGCCTGTTAGAGTGTGGCGCATCGCCCAATGAGGGCGACGTGCGAGGCGACACGCCCCTGCACGTCATCGTGCGCTACACGCGCCCCATCAGCGACTTCCTCACGCTGCATAGCATAATCCTGCTGCTCGCAAAGGCTGGCGCCCACACAGACGCAGCCAACGTGTGTGGGCGCACTCCACTACAGTGCGTTAGGACAGGGGTCGCGGAGGTCATCTTGCGCACGCAGAATCAGCTCAGCCTCCAGTGCCTGGCGGCGAGGGTTGTGCGCCAGAACTGCATTCCGTACGTTGGGCTCATTCCGCAAGCACTGGAGGAGTTTGTGAACCTGCACTGATACCCATTTTCCACTGGCATATCCGTGCCGAGCTAGCACAAGGCTCTCGCAGTCCAGGTGGTTTTCAACTGGCTATTTGGCATGCGGAGCGGGGAACCAAACCACGCTATGCTGGCATCATAAGACATCAGAATCTGGTTTCGAGCTAAGCAGGACCAGGGTCAGGCCCAATAATGCATTGATTGCATGTAACAGTACATCTCACAATGTCACCCCATTTACATGCAACTCAGGAGGCACCGACATTGTGTGCAATGTCGGTGCCTTCTGAACTGCGCCGGTCTGGATCAGAATGGTTTTACAGTGGAAAAAGATGTATTCGTGGCCCACAGTTCGACAGGTCAGCCTGGGTCAGGGTGCTGCAGAGAGCTGTGCCTTATTCGTTGTGTGTGACTGGGAGCAGAGATCACATTGCACCTAAATGATCTCCCTTCCAACGAAAGCTGCAAATACGTTTTACGTAGTACATCCTTCTAGCTAAGGATGCACTACATGGTTATTGGTTGCCCCGGTGCAATGAATTGAATGTGATGTGTTATTGTGGCACACACTAACTGAGCATGACCTATATATAAATCATACTCTGGTATATGTATAATGTATACATATATAAAACCAATCTCCTTAATTGTAAATACATTTTCAGTGCTGTAATTGTTTTAGATTATTCCGGTAAAACGTTTATTCCTTCGGAGTATTTTTATATACTTACGATCATCTGGGCAGGGATTGGTAATTTATAACGGCTACATGATAAGAATGGGAATTTCAGAAAGCCCAATATGTGGTGCATCATCACCAGATGGCAGCATTCAAGCAGCCCACTCTGTTAAGTGAGAAATCATGACGAATGCCATTAATGTGGCAACCGATTATCGATCATCGATCTCCCGGTCTCCAGAGCAACAACATAAGCCATGCTAACAGCCCTTTTCGGGGCTAAACAACGCGCCAGATAGGCCCTGGGACAAGGATCCTCCAACGGAACATTGAGGGACTCTCTCTGGCGAAGTGCGAGTATCTCACGAACATAATGAACACGTAACTTGCCAGTCGCGACCACATCCATGGATACAACCTCATGACGAGCCACAACCAACCTAAATATGGCTTGGCCATATACGTGAAGAACACCATCACAGAGTTACGCGCCTTCCCACCAACTGAAAAAGAAGCCACCTACACCAGCATCAAGATAGGGGAGCTGCACATCACCAACGTATATAGAGCCCTTAATTAAAAATGTCCAAAGTCAGCACTCCCAAGTGCACCATTCGCAGCCCTATACGTTGGTGACTTTAACAGCCACCATGCTGTGTGGGGCTATGCAGTAGACCAGGCTGACGGCGAAGAACTCACTGATTGGATGTCCACCGAAGATCTGCACCTGGTTTTCAATTCGAAGCAGCAATGAACTTTCCACTCATCGCTGGCAACGCTACTACGACCACCATCGTTTCCAAAGATCAAAGTGGAAGTCCACTTCACGCATCCTATAAAATACTTCCACCCACATTAGCATCGAAATCCCTGTGATTGTATCAAAACGATTGACAAGGTGGAACCTGGCCAGAGCTGACTGGGACCGCTATAAGGAGGCTGCAGAGAGAGTGGCGAGTCAAATACCCGCGACACTGAAATGCTATCGCCGTTTTGTCGGCGTCCTTATTGCAGCCACCAACACAAGCATCCCCCGAGGCTTCCGGAAAGAATACAAAAGAGACCCAGGAACTGCTCCGACAATACAACCAATCGGGCAGCCCACAGGTTGGAAAGGCCCTGATAGTCTCGAGACTCAGCCAGACGCCAGCTATGGATTGAGTGCGTTGAAGGCCTGAACTTCACACACTCCAACCGCTGTGCCTGGGCCCTACTACAACGCCTCGGTGTTGCTAATCCAACAATACCTGACTGCAAGAGCCCTGCCCAACTCTATAGCCACCAAACTAGTGGAGAAGGCAAAAGGACCGTGCGACAAAAATTTTAAGCGAGAGATCCATCGCCAATTACACCAGACAGTGGCCTTGATTTCTTCACAAGACCCCACCGTCATCAGCACAGAAGAAGTGAGGAAGGGTCTGGCTGCAATGAAGAAAGGCAAGGCTGCCGGCAGAGATGGTATCCCCCCAGAATTCCTCCATCACTTAGGCCCTAGGAGACTCCAATGACTGGAAAAAATGTATACAAAAACCATGAAAACCAGATGCATCCCAAAAGCATGGTGGGAGGCAATGGTAATTGCCATACCAAAACCGGGCAAGCCAACTGACGACCCGGGAAGCTATAGGCCGATGTCACTCCCACTCGTCAAGTCAAGAATAAGCAGGATTCCGGCCTGGACGCAACCGCTGTGACCAAGTTTTGGCCTTTGCGACACACATCGACGTCAGATTCCAGAAGAAATACAAGACCAGCACAGCCTTTGTGGACTAGTCATCGGCCTATGAAACAGTCTGGATTAAGGGCTCGAAATTGAAGTTCGCAAGGACCATTCCCTGCCTCAAAACAATACACCTGATATAGGCGATGCTGAGTGTGTCTATATGGGCGATAAAGCCAGCTCACCCCGGTTCCTCAAAAATGGATTGCCTTAAGGTTCAGTACTCGCACATATCTCTCCCACACCCATCCGGCTCAACACTGCAACTCTCCGGGAAGTCCTGCGAATCGAGGACAACAGTCGCCTTCCCATTCACCAGGACCTCGGTAACGCCCCACGTCATCGCTTGAAGTCATGCAAGCCCTTTTGGACCCATGCGCTTAGCCTTCAAAAATCTGAGTTCAACCCCAATGAAGTTTGGAGACCTGAATGGAGTTCAAAATAACTCGCAAACACCTTGTGAAAGACCCAACGCAGAAGATCCCCAGGGTTGATCTTCCACGTACCTCATGGTCCACCCTAAACCGCATCCGCACAAACCATGGCAGATGTGGATACCTGATGCACAAATGTAACATTTAAAACTGTCCAGGGTGCGACTGTAGTCATCCAGAACAGACCAAACAGCATATGACGCGATGCCCAATCCACAAATACAAAGGAGACATCACAGCTATACACTCTGCTACTACTCATCATGCGGTGATCTGGCTTGACCACCTGAATGTGAACTTGTAGTTGTTGCTCTGCATCTACATCAGACATAGGAAATAAGAAGCAGCCCACCTAGCTGTGGAACTCAATAAAACATGCAATAACATGTTTCAAGTGTTTTCAAATCAGCACGTATACATAGATTATCATGCCGTATATACAATTACATTGCACTATTTGAACAATAGGAAAATAATCTTGATGTTAAGCTTTCGTGACTGCAGGAATCCATACTCTCTGGTTCTTTCGGTAAAGTCACGTAGGTAGAAAAATAGATCAGACGTTTCGATCGCAACACAAGCAATCGTCATCAGGTGGGACAACCACAGCAAGAAAAAACTGCTGAAGAAAAAAAGTCAGCAGTTTTTTCTTGCTGTGGTTGTCCCACCTGATGACGATTGCTTGTGTTGCGATCGAAACGTCTGATCTATTATTTCTCTACCTACGTGACTATACCGAAAGAACCAAAGAGTATGAATAGGAAAGCAACTCTTATGTTAGTTTTGACTGCGTACATTTTAGGAAATCATTTAAAAAATAGTAACCTTTGTTAGTAAAGAGGGTTTTTGTTTAAATGTTACTTAGGATTTTTATTATCAAGCTGGAGCAGCAGCACGTTGGTGGTTAACACGCTGCTACGAAGCAAAATAGGAAATACGAGGCAATAAAAACTTGCCAAAAACTAATCATGACCAGAATCATGGCAGTTCTTCAAATTGCAGGGGAGTCTTGAGATAATCGTTCCATACCTGCTTTATTGAAACAAAATGTATCTAACAAACCACAACCTATTTGCTTCCAGGTGTTCTAAAAACAGGGAGAGGATCATGAATTTAGTTTAATCTCTTATTTCTCTCATCTCTTCACTATTGTGCACAATGGGTTCTCCATCATTAAGCAAATGGTTGTACATTTAAGTTGGTGATGAAACTAGTTTTTTCATCTTCATTTTAATTAAGATTTTAATATGACTTCATATGACATACTTCTCGCACCTCTGATTAGGACGGTTGGCTACGTACGGTGCGAAAAAAGTTAAACGGTCTGTTTTATAACATGTTTTCATCATGCGAATTGGACATAACGCGATTAATGTATTAGGGAACACACTTTTACAACGCGGATGCGAATTGGCTATAACGCGATTGAATGAACAGAACTAAGTCGCACGAATAGGAATAAGTGGTTGTACGGCTGCCTCGGCGTAGCATCACACAAGGTGGGATGCTGCTGGATGCTTCTAGATGCTACCCACACGCTTCAGTCAACCTGCATACGCATCTCACGTGTTATCGCGGACTGTGCTTTACACTATATTAATTATAACTCGATATTTCCAGAAGTGTTCTTCAGAAATGCTACTACCGCGTTATAGGAGAATAGACTGTACATGCTTCTGACTTACAGGCTAAAAAACAGTATTTGTTACTACGGAATTAAATTTAGCAGTGGCATTCTTACAGCCAGGCCTTGAGTGCTAGCACATTGAGATATTCACAGTAACATGTATGTCATGTCTGTGGTCTCAGAACTGGGGAGCGGGAGTGTAGCAGTTAGCGCTACGCTGCGCTATGAACCTGGCGACATTTTGTTTCCCGCTCATGGCCAATACCAGTGACAATTATCTGAACTGGTCCTGGGCCTCCCCTAGATCGACTTCGCCTTAAATGAGTACCTGGTGCAACGTGTAAACATCACCACTGGGGAGACAAAGGCGGCCGGGCGTGGTGCTGGCCACCCACCCCCTCATGTGCCGTTCCGGCTTTCATAGGTGCTCGCTAACAGCAATTAGCCCCAACAGTCGGTTAAGTTTTAACGGGAGATCTTTGTGCGAAGAATTGCATTTTCCAAACTATAGATTTCATGTAGTCTCAATGAGCAGCAAACTGTTGATAGGCTTGGATCGTACAATAACCTGTCTTGCTGGCACGGACATAATTGCTGCAATTCTAAAACAGCTTCACAAAAAATGTGGTAAATGTCTCCAGTTATTATCTGCAGTCGGAGTCCTAATTGATTACTTATAATCATTGGGCCTAGGTCAGTGGGGGAATATATTGGAGTTGTTAAGGGATTTAATTTCCTTATAACTTTCTCCAGAGCTTGACTCTCAATGTAGTCTGTTCAAAATTAGAACCATCTGCTTTGTGCAGCATTAAAGCAAAAGCACCTGGCATCTCGTGAGCCATGACGGGACATTGCGAAAATGTACTTTGGTGGTTGTGACCCTCAAGGTCCTGCTTATGTATGCGGGTTTTTGCCATTGTGTATGTGGAAATATCATTCACATGAGCAACAATGCCTGGTCCCTCAGCAGTCGTTTTAAGTGGCATGACATCCAGAGGTTAAGCCCTGTTTGAGTAAAGAACGTCCTGAACCCACTTAATGCGCCCCACAATAAGTGTGTGTGCCGTCTAAGATGCTGATGAAACGCAAGTGTGTTACTGCCGCAGCACGTTCTGTCACAGGGATAAGTATTGTTCCGTGTTACAGCATCTACGTGTTCCATGCTGCCTCTTGTATTTTTTCTCCACTTACATCCCAATTATGCTATTGGCATATTTTAACGAGATGAAGAATACATTGGAACCTTTGCAGAGCAGTGCAAATCCCCGCATTATGGGTGCACAGAAGAAGTTAATAATCTATTTCTGAGATCCCTTTAAGTGACCTCATCAACAGCAGGGGATAGCAATTTCCCACCTGTTTGTCACATGACAACCAAACCAAATATTTTTTAATTTTGAGAGCTTAAATTTAGATTGAGTAATTATGAAATGATCGTTCGAGGGTAATCAATTGCACCTAAAAAAATGAACTCTCATTTTTAAAATGTAAAGAGTGGCAGACTAAAAATGATATGTATCGCATGTATGTTGAACTTCGTTCACACCGTTCGTAGCCAACTGCTAATCGGATATATAAGTACAGATGTATAAAAATAGTATATTTTGTATAAAGAATGCGAATTAAGGATGACTGCATTAGTGATGCTACAGATGATATGCATTACATAAATATCAGCTTACGTGTAATGCCTACGTTTTAGATTTCAAATCATGCAGATCTGCTCAATAATACATATGCCGTGATGAAGCAGTGTTTTCGGATGTGATGATGTTTATAGGAATAAAAAAAACACGGGTGTCTTGGTCAATTACTCTTTTAATAATGCCTCTGTTGGGGAAAAATATGCAGGTGCAAGACACAATCACAAGTCCTTTAACCAAAATATAGGTCATATCTTAAAATCTTGAAAATCGAACCACCCAATTTGTTGTCATGCCTGTTGAACAAAATAAGAAGGTTCAGAATATTCTCTGAATATTCCAAAGTCAGGTGCGTCAAAAAACTACCATGGCAAGACAATTATGAATTTAACACGTACGCTTTCGCGATCAATATAATCCATAAGGCTTTTTTGGGTTTGATCGCTTAAATATAAATGTATCGTTAAACCTGTCGCCACTCGACACGCCAATTAGTAAGGTTTGTCACGTAAACAAAACATGTTAATCACTAGTTCAGCACACTGGCTGTCACCTGATGAGGCTGGTTGCAATGACCGGTGAAAGGTCATACTCGAATTGTGAATGTTGGTTTACTCCAATACACCGGTGTGCTGAACTAGTAACTAATTGGCATGTTTGTTTACGTGGCAACCCTTAATTGGCTGTGTTGGGTGGTTGTGGGTTTAACAACACGTTTATAGTTATGCAATAGAACCCAAAAAACCTCATGGACAATTATCAAAGTCCCAGATAAATGGTGCTAAAAAACAAACTGGTATTTCTGTTTTATATACGTAAAAAAGTAAACAATTATTTTTTGGGAATTGAAAACACAAACTAAACTTTTAGAGCTAAAAAAAATAATGTCCAACTGCTTACATTTTAATAAATACAAAAAAATACATTTACAATTTGTCAAATGATTCAAGTCGCCGAATATTGTTTTTGGGTTCGAAAGAAAGCAAAGTTCATCATTGTTGCTCTTTTCGGTTGTGGAGCTGCTGCAACCAGAGCTGCAGCGCGTACACGGTGCCCGTGCTGACCCGTTCCACGTCGGGGCCTGACGAGGGGACCTGGGCCAGCAGGCACGAAGTGGGCAAGGCCTCCAGCTCCTGCCTGCTCCCCTTCATCACCGTCGCACTGAGGGAGGTCACGAGAATAATTAGGAAGAGCCAACCCCTTTTGAGTGATCCTGCATTCCCACCACCACTGTGAAGGCAACCTGTCGGTCCAGGGCAGACAAGCAACTGCAGCTCAAGATGCAGCACAGAAGCGGTGCATAGTGTGTAGAGGTAGTCTTGTCATTCACAGGCTGAGAGCTTGAGCCTAGACTTGAATGGATAGGGAGTCGATGGCAGGGGGAAGGGAGTTCCTTATCATGTGGCCCTGTGAACTCAGCCTCTGGGTTCTCTAGCCCCTCCATGGCTGGAATGGGGGAAAAAGGGTGTAATATGTTTGGTAATAATTATATTTCATATACACTGCTGGATATTATTGGTCAGTTATTATTTTACCCATACTTCATGCTAATCGGTGAGTGATTTCTGCACTGATTCAGATATCACGAACCATTGATGCTAGCCTCGGCCATGAATCAAACTGATGCCCAGGGTCCCAGGCCACCGGTTGGCTTACGCAAACTCTGTAAATTACGTAGACCACGATTTCTCGCATTTCCGATTCCCCACGGGATTTACACACGGGGAATGCATACATTTTCGTGACAAAGTACGAGCGATATTGAGCAGCCAAATGCGCTCGTTATAATGGAGTTTCTGAGCAGTCGACGACTAACTACTTGAGCTGTGCAGCGCCTAATAACATACCCTCAGTTATTTGCCCCGCCACCTCACCGTGTGCGCATACATCGTATCTCGCCAAGCTTTATCGTTACATTATTTATGGCGAAATTGTTTTCACTTAAAGTGCGCCACTTTTCAGGAACCCATCGTGTTAAATGAGAACTTACTGCACTCAGGCTTCCAGGTTTTGAGCACAGTGTGCTATCCACTGTGGCACCACTTCTCCACCCCATATTCTTGGTTAGGCGGCTTAAGTTAAACTCCACAGCTAAAGCCAATGACCACGCTTACCATTTCCTTGTTGACCCGCGTGACATCACATTTCTGTCTTAGAAGCGGCCTGGCTAAAAGTGTGCAGCCCTCTTGGGGAGAGTGAGCCGCATGGTCTTGTTAAACAGCGACGTTGTTGGCCTAGTACAGCTATTGTGGGAATCTGATCCGAGTCCACTTTGATTGGTTCATAAACCAGGAAAGCTCAATTCCCAATGGTCTTGGGAACGTGGCATGAGGGAATATTCTCGTAACATGTACCCACGGTCAGCATATGCAGATAGCTACGGATGTGATGACATCAACTGAAATCGATTCTCATGCTCGCAATATAAGATAGTCCCCGAGTTACAATGGTCTGACTTACGATATTTCGATCTTACGATCGCGATACGATACGTTCAATGCATGTTAAAAGTTTTTATAGCAGATAGGATTGTTTCCTGAAAAACTTTCTATTAAATTGCAGTTCATATAGGTAGGCTAAGAATTTACCTATTATTTGTTTTACATTTTACTGTGCAATACAGTATTGTAATTAATAAATACATACAGTATATAGTTTATACAGTACGGTACTGTAAATTGCTCTGTTTTGCTAAATGATCACCATTCTTTAAGACTCCTGTGTTTTCAACAACTGCATACATTTTTTAGCACTTTTACTACAGCAGGAGCTTTTGCGCACATGAAAAATTGGAAAAGAGGTTTTCATAAAGTGCAATTTTCTCTAGCCACTCACAATCATATTTACAGTTTACTATTAAACAGCACACCTTGTTGGCGAGTGTTGCGGTGAACTTGTTGTGCAGTGTACCTGAATGTAGCAGGAATACCCTTGGGTGGTTGGCTTATTTGTGGGTGGGACTTGGCATTTTCCGCAGATGACACAATGGCTCTGGCCGTGTCCGGGTCGATCCATGCACAAGCGCTCACCTCGTCCACACACAGGGCGACGTGTTCCTGCAACAAGCGCACGCGCCCGAGGCAGGCAGGCTTACACCGCTGAAGCGAAACGCAATTTTCAGTCTATCGGCCTCTGGGTCTTTCAGATGAACGTTCCCATTTGCATTGATGCATTAAGCAAAGTTGGGACCAGCTCTGACTTCAGTCGGAACCCGCTGAAGCAGCAAAGACAAATGTGGACAGGCAAATGTGCAGATATAAGGTATGCATGTGCAGAAACTTAAAAACTGCATTACTTAAATTTGTAATCAGACTATAGTGTTCTGAAATCTGCCATTCAAATCCCAAAGCATGTGTCCAACCTAATTATGAGTTGCAGGTTATTATATATAAAGTATATAAATCCTCACTTTCAAAGACTAATGAATGTAAAATATCTATGTTGTACAAGTATGCATATTTATGTGTCATTACATGTTTGTATACGTGTCACTACGTGTTTGCTAAATCTTGGACACCCTTCCATCCCAAGGGGATTTTCCAGGCGAAATACTTGAACATACCTATTTTTACGTAAGGTGTTGGATGAATGGTTGCGAAGGTTGCTTGACTCGGATACCTGTAATTGCTGGTGCAGAAGGGATGTTTGCACCAAGGCATAAACCACAATATGATGCCTTCTGGGAAGACCTCGGATGAGATTTCCCGGATAGACCGACTGCAGGAGGGGAAAAAGATGGCCAGTTTCACACCTTCAAGTTAAACTTGGTAACATGGGACTCTTAAATCTTGACTTAAAGCTTTCGTGACTGCAGGAATTCATATTCTTGGGTCTTTCGGTAAAGTCACATCGATAGGTTCAAAGAAAATCACAAAAAATAACAACAAACTACGACGTTTCGATCGCAACACAAGCGGTCCTGAAGACGACCGCTTGTGTTGCGATCGAAACGTAGGTTTTTTTGGTTATTTTTTGTGATTTACTTTCAACCTATCGATGTAACTTTACCGAAAGACCCAAGAATATGGGGCTCTTATTTTCTGCAATACTCCTAGATGCCCCTTAGGTGGGGATAGAGTCTCGGGTTGATTTCATGAGGACAAATGTCTGACATGTAGCCATTCACTATACCCTGATTTAGGATGATTTGTCATCGTTCAGGGTCATGATTAAATTCAAGAATACATGTTTTTTGGTGTTCCATCTGTGCTGTCATGCTCGTACTGTCTGTCACAACCCTAGGATGCAGTCTTGAAATAGTCTGCACTCTTCCATTGGTCAGGCCTGCAAGACCCATGCAAGCGGTAATGTATATTTCTCACGAAAGATGGCTTATTATTATTTTTATGATGTTAAATGTCTTGTATGAGGTCATGCAAGAGCCTCCAAGTTGTATACTAAACATCATGTTGAGTATCTTGAACCCAGGACTGCATCCTAGTGTCTTAAATGTGTCACGTTTTGTCTTGTTCACTCAGTCCATTGACAAAAAGGAAGATTTGCATGAATCGAATATATTATTAAATGCATGTATCGTGTACAAAATACATGAGAATCAATATTAATTGGTTAATTATTACACGTTTACATGCCAACAATGTATTCAAGAATTCATATTTTTTTCTTTTGTTTGTACTACTCCTGAATGCTCTCCTCTGCACTCTCTAATCTGTACTGTGTAGTGTGTTTGTTTCAATGGTACTGTCACACCTGTATCGTCTTGTTTGTATTGTGTCATTTGTTGTGATATCATTTACATCATCTTGCTCACTTGTATTGCAGCACGGTTTTAATGTCTTTGGAGTTTGTTTTTCCTAAAAAAATGTAATCAACAAACATTTCCTACCGACACAAGATAAAATATGTATTGTAGGCAGACCAGTGCCACAGTGCTTGATGCACTGTACTATGATCCCATTGACCTAGGTTCAATTCCTGACCAAAGCTCACATCAGCTGAAAGTATCCCAGGTCACTCTTGCAAATGAGTCTATCCTGGTCCCATGAGTTTCTCACCTGGGGAAATAAAATAAAGTTTATATCTGAACCTGGACCCACCCTCCTCCTTCACCAACCGACACTGACCAGCAATGGTGAAGTGTCGCCAAACGATCCCCATGACTGATACAGCATGGGGAGGCCTTGACCCCATGGCGGATTGACAGAGGGTCCAACAACATCGTTGTGGAGCATCTAAACCGAACTCATGAAGTGTTACATGCCCGGTGAGAAGCACTGCTTACCTCCCACAGGCCCAAGGTGGTGATGGTGCATTCGGATGGTGACATCTGCAGACCAGTCTCCTCTCTCAGCTCCCGCAGCCCAGCTTCCAGAAGCTGAGAAAAAAAAATATCGGGCGGCATTCGTTAAGTTTTTGCAATCTTAATTTGATGTCTACAAAGATCAATGTTGGTCTTTTGCTAAACCCTACCTTAAAGTACTACGGAGTACAAAACACGTTTACATTTAAAGGTGTTGGGTCTTAAGAAAGAAGCACCCTTGATTTGACAATACACTTGAAGACAGTACATTTCATATCGGATTAAGCACTGACTTTCTCAATTGTCAGCAGATAATTCCCTTAGGAACACGTCTGCAACATGTTTTTCAGATGTGTGGAAGGCAGCCATTCGAATATGTTAGTTTAATGGGTTCATTAGGCTTGCATTCCTGTGACTGCAGGTCAAGGTTATTTTATTGCAGTGGCCTAAGTCCAACTATTGCCTGGGGCTTACCATTCAACACACACCATTAACCGCAAGAGATTGCACTAACTGTAACCTAACTTTACAGCATAGCACTGCACTGAATCTAGACGCACGATATTCAGATAATAAAATGATGGAAAATATATCGCTATAAAAATAATCGAAAACATTTTCCAACAGAGATGTATAGATTGTATGCAATACATCACATAAATTCTGTAATAAATTCCAAATGAATCAATCACGTGGGACCACAAATAGATAACATGTGTCCAATAAAGACTTCTGAGTTAGGTACATGAAAGCAGAAATAGAAGAGAAAATCTCAACCTGTTCTCCTGGATCCACGTGACCCCCTGTGGGTACACAAACATTGGGTCGTGAATACAATGGGCAGCTGACTTAAATAATACAACAGAAAGCAAAAGGCCTTCATCTTAAACTATATCTGTGGTGAATGCAAAATCTTACACAACGCATTTATATTGTACATGCTGATGTATTACAGTAAAACAGTCCTAATATATAAACGATATAAGGAAAATGCATTAGGAATATCCAAAAGGCAGTTAAACAAAGGGACCAGCCTCGAAAATATGTGATGTCTACAAACAGAGTTAAGTGCCTGTTAAATAACACACAACTGGGTCAGATTGTAAAAAAAAGTTGATTTATATTAAATGGCATCCGATCTCTATAATTTTTCAATTCCCTGGCATGCTTATCATCACATAGTTGGTCATAATCATGTAAATTACAAAGCTCATGAAGCATTCCAGATTTTAATTCCAAGTATGTAATAATAATGAACCTGATTGGGGTTCAATAACCAATATTGACTACAATGTATTCCACGTTGAACCGAAGCAGATGATGGGAGGAAATTCCAACGTTTAGCAGTCAGTGGATAGAAGCAGACACAGAAGTGTTTGATCTGCGGTGTGGTGGCTGAACACAATACGGACGAGAGAAAAGTCAATTATGGCAACATGGGTGGACGAATTAAGGCATGAAGTGCACAGGAACAGTAACTACCGTAGTGGCAACAGCAGAGTGATACAGAAGCCACCAACCGTCGGCGGTTAGCGACTGTAATGAAAGAGTTCTGGGTCATTAATCAACCTGACTGGGTGTGCCACCTCCCCAGCGGTATGACAACGGTATTCCAACTTTGGGCGCTTTTGTTTTTTTTTAAACCGCACCAAAATTCACAAACATTACCAAACTGCCGCTGCTCCCCAACCCCACTGCCCCCCCCCCCCCCCCCGCTCGCTCATTAAGGACGCACAGAGCAGGTGCTCGTCATCCGTTTGTCCCCAACATACCGGGGGGCACCCAGACGTTGGGGAAGATGGAGAGCTGCGCCGCCCTGCGCGTCAACAGCACGCGCGCGTCCACAGACTGCAGCACGACGGCCACGCCGACGTCAATCCCCCGCGCCAGCGTCTCGCGGGGAAGGTCACGCGCGTCGTCCGGGCTCAGGTGCTGGATGGGGCAGTCTGCAGCTCGCTACCGTGCACAACAAGCAATCAGGGATACGCACGGGGGGGGGGGGGGGGGGAGCGGTTGCTGCATTTAACAGAAGGCAGTGCACAACATTAGCAAAGTCCATTACTTTGCTATACTATTGCTAATCTCTGCTCCCCACCTTAATCGACCCGCACTGATCAGCATGATAAATACTCTTTGGTTTATGGACCCTTGCAGTCACGAAAACTTGAAATCTAGAACAGCATGGTAAAGTATATTTAAATAACCCCTGCGACCTGCACAACATGTGCAGGCCCTCATCCAGTACATTGTTAAAAGTACTGCATGTGTGTGTACACTCAACAGACAGCTTTTTATTATTCAACACAGAAGAGTTACTTTACACGTGGTATATGGAACTATGTAGCGACGATGCATTGATTCATCATTCAAAATCGACTACTGGAGTACTTAAACATGAGTTGGACGATGCGGTGAGTGCGGTAAAAAAATGTTTAGTCTCCATGCCTTGAGTGGGACCAACTCTGCTCCGGGTAGATCCACGCAGTCCGAAATAAGAAAGCGATTTTCCTGCAGCTTGCAGCTCACAGTTAGTTGCTGTGCTCCATCACTGCTGAAGTAATCTGTCACGCTCTGTGCAGACAGCAGTAGAGTGAAATAGTGCAGCTGTGCTTACCAATGAATCACCCCAAATGTGCCCAATATTATCAGATCTCTACCTACGATGGATGAGAATCATACATGGTGCTATGTTTGTGATTACACTAAAAGGTGTCCAGGAAAAATTACATGGGGAGGTGTGGTATATTATATTACTATAAGCCAAAAATGTGTGTGTCCCGCGCGTGACGTCACTCCACATGAGGCCCACCCCCCCGCGTGACGTCACTCCACACGAGACCCACCGCCCCCCTCATTAATATTCATGAGTGGGTGGATTTTTACACTAACGCAGAGGAAGGTCGAGCCGAATTATGCAGAAAATTGGGAAGAAATTTAAGTTGGGAAAAACTCTTTTCTCATGCATACATTGTACGTGTCATTTGAGCTGCCTTCAAGCTTATATTTTAAACAACAAATAATACAGTTAAGTGTATTTTAATTACACAAGATTTGCACAAACACAGTATGATGAGGTATAATGTCCAATAATATTTTGTATTTACTGTGTGGACAAACAATAACATGAAGTTATTTTGCATTACAAAACTATTAATGTTATAAACCCGTTAAAAGCAATTTGGATTGGTTTTTCACGAACAGTGAAAGCTATGTCCATATCCAATCATGTTTCAAACCTACAGGTTACAGATGAACAAAAAAATATAGAACGTCTCTCAAGGACGGTGCGTCAATGAGAAACGGCATGGAACACAAACGTGCTCCAAAATTCCGTAAACGTGGCAGTGGTGAAAATAGCTCCAAGTGAGTACAGTAACAGGTGGCGATGCTGTCGATTTTCCTACTATGGGCACCACTAGACAACGTTCAGTTCTATACTCATGACAGTCAAGTGCAGAAATTAAGAGTCTTTACATGACGCGGGAGGTATTTTTTGGGGGTGGGAGCGGTGGTTGCAGTGGTTTGTGCCGTTTGCTTTGAAGCCAGTGCCTTGAGTTTGATTCCTGGCCATGGCCAACATCAGTGGCAAGTGAGATTTTAACCAATTCTGGGGGCTTTGCATCAACAACCCGCACTGACCAGCATGATGAATATGATCAAACCCTCCATGACTGAGACGGCATGGGGAGGTCTTCATCCAGTGGTGGATTGGCAATAGGTGTATCAATTACGATTTAGTTGTATCACCACCAGTGGACAGATTGTGGCCGTTGATGATGTTCACAGATGTTTGATCACTTAAAAATTTTCCTGTTACATTTAAAGTCCAACGAATGAAAAAATAATTGAGTGAGAAATGTTTAAATTTCGATTTAAAGCTTTCGTGACTGCAGGGATTCATCTTCTTGGTTCTTTCAGTAAAGTCACGTAGAAGGGAAGTAATAAAATAATATTTTTTATTATAATAAAATAATATTTTTTATTATTTTAAAATAATATTTTTTATTATTTTATTACTTCCCTTCTACGTGACTTTACCGAAAGAACCAAGAAGATGAGAAATGTTTGTCGATTTTTTTTGCAGCATCTATATTCGTTAAGCCCAGGTTTTGGGTATTTAATTCAGTGAGCGCCCGTGCGATTGTGGTAAGGTGACTGTGGGATCCGGCGCTTACCTGGGTAAACTTGGCGCACACAGGCAAGGTGTTTTTCCTCAACAGGTAAACGAACACCCTCTCCATTTACAAGCAAAGCAGGGACTTGGCACGCCCCGCCACCTTCTGCTACACAACAACGTGGCCAGACACATGAGAGCCGTTACAAACCGCGCTACGTGTCAGTGACGCTACAAAGTATGCATTTATTTCAGTTACAGTACCAGTACCCTACAGTTAAGATCTGTGACCTCATATGCTTTAAAGAACTTGCTGTCATTCGAATAGTGAATGAAATACTCATAGTTACACACTTTAAAGGGATTCTAGATTTGAAGCTTTCGTTACTGCAAGGATTCATATTCTTAGGTTTTTTCCGGTAAAGTCACGTAGGTAAAAAATTAAACTTAATAAAAGTAAAATTAAAATAAAATTATTTTTATTTAATTTTATTTTACTTTTATTAATTTATATTTTTTACCTACGTGACTTTACCGAAAAAACTTAAGAATACTTTAAAGGGAATGTGGCCCTCTTCTGGGTTGTATTTACCAGCTGTCCAATACAGTACTGATCATAACAAACCTGCTTTTAATGAAAGACTGCAACGAGATCGACTGTTTTCCAAACCAGAACAGTGATCAGGCCAATCCCTATCTTTATCTGATGCGTTCAGGTACAAAGGTGACTTGTGATAACCTTTGCAAATATTGCTCAACACTGAGAATCAAAAGTAAACTCCCACATACGCTTGGCAGATAAATGTTTAAAACTGCTGCGCAAAACCTAAAATTAGGACATAAAATTTCAAAACTGGATGGTTGGGAATTAGTTATTTAATCATGAGCTTACTGGGGTCACCCAAACCCTTCACGTCTTGATATATCGACTGCTCGATGAATGTCTGCCCAACCGAAGCCACCTATCAGGGTCTCGCAATGCAACAACTCATCTTGCTCCTGCACACAAGCTGATATCCTTGCTCCATCTCTGCGGTGAACATCCTCTCAGGCGTGTCCTCTCTGTTATTCCATCGTTAGTGTCGACCTGATTGCACCCAATATCGTCAGATCGTGGAAGCTTAGTACTTAGATGGGAGACTGCCTAAGAATACCAAGTGTTGTATGAAATGAACGGTAAGGTGGTTAGGAGATGGCAGTACAGCAAGTGGATTGTTGAAATTATTTGAGCATACAAGTGAGTGTTATCCCCCAAGTGTGTGATTTCCTGAGGTGTGCACTTTCTTCCACAATGCTAAACACAAAAAAATGGAATTTGGTCAAACATCCCAAAACTCACGAATACTCATTGTGGCTTTTTCAACTAACTAGAAGGCATTATTATTATTATTTAGTATGCTGCAGCCAGGTAAGCAATGATCCTTGACTTTACTAGGTACTGTATATTGAACATATGGTGTACCGCTGGGATTTTGGCATACTCACTGGAGATTTTTTTTCGCTAACAAAATTTCCATCTTGCCACTACCGCTTAAATAAAAGTGAAACATTTTATATTTACGTTCTATATATTGTGTTGAATATTCAAACCTATTTTAAGTTTTAATAATAGTTTTCCCAGCTTATATTAAAAAAGTACCTTGCTTCCTTGGCATTATGGTTGAAACAAAAATATATAAAGTTGTTTATTTGCATGAGATGCTCACAAACATGACACATACGTCTGTGAAACATGTCTTTCAAATATTTTTTTTATGGAATGCAGCACAAATATTGAATACCATTGTATAGTGTTACATTGTTCAATAGGCATTTGAAAAAACTGTACAATTTTCATTCCTTAAAAAACTATTCAGATTGGTTCTTCAAAAACAGGAAAAGCTACATCCATGACAAGTCATGTTACGTAACTACATTTTATAGATGTAGAAATAACATCTGTGACATAACCTCTCTCGAAGAGGGTGCCTTAATCAGAAACAGCATGTAGCACAAGTGTTCCATACGTAAGAGTGCGGATGATGGAAGGACCCCCAAGTGAGTACAGCAACAGTTGGCTACTTGCTGCATTCAAGGGTGGCCAGGCTGTTGTTATTGCATGAGCACCACTGGGACCATCAATCTTGATTTCCAGCTCCATGCTCATGACATGCATTTGGTAAATGTAAAATAATTAAATTATGCTACAGATATTGTATGAAGAATAACTTTCAAATAATGTTAAAGGCCAATTCTAAGAAGATATATTATCAATTTTTTCGATTTAAAGCTTTCGTGACTGCAGGGATTAATCTTCTTGGTTTTTTCGGTAAAGTCACGTAGAAGGGAAATAATAAAATAATAAAATAAAACATAATAAAATACAATTCTCATGACGTTTCGGCCACAACGCAAGCAGCCGTCCTCAGGTGAAGAACAGGGCCGTCCTCAGGTGAAGAACAGCCCTGTTATTCACCTGAGGACGGCTGCTTGCGTTGTGGCCGAAACGTCGTGAGAATTGTATTTTATTATGTTTAATTTTTAATATTTTATTATTTCCCTTCCACGTGCCTTTACCGAAAGAACCAAGAAGATATATTATCAATGTTTGTTGATTTTTTTCGTGGCATGTATCGGTTAAGCCCAGGTGTTATGCAAAGTGACTGTGGGACCCGGCGCTGACCTGGGTAAGCTTGGCGTACACGGGCAAGGTGTTTTTCCTCAACAGGTAAACGAACACCCTCTCCATTTACAAGCAAAGCAGGGACTTGGCACGCCCCGCCACCTTCTGTTACACAACAACGCGGTCACAGACAAAACGCAAGCCGTTACAAGCGTGCTCCCAAAGTTAAAATTGGATTGGAGCAATAAAGGTATAAACAATGAAGATGATATTAACGACACATTTTTTTTTCGAGAAGTCATTGTAACAACCAATAGACATGAACTATAGGATACTATTGAAGAATGTAATGGGTTGAGATTAAGATACATTAGTAAAACAAAGGTCGTGTACAGAAATGTTTGGAGCAATGTGCAGGAGACGTATTGTGGCATCGCAAGACCATGATGGCTGGCGTCGCCGTGGACAGGCATTTCATGCAGCAAAGCATAGAACACGGCTGACGATTTAGAACAATTTCACAACATATACGAAATTTGATCTGGTTCTGGCTTTTATTTCTAGATGTGAAACACACATGCTCCAAATCAGAGGGCACAGAGACCTTCAGTGTTCCATAGGGTGCACTGTACCATCTCGATATTACAACATCTACTACAGAATCAGAATATTAAGTAAAATAACTGAGCAAAACGTACTCTTAGGTTTTTCGGTAAAGTCACGTAGGGAAAAATAAAAAATAAAATATAATTCAAATAATCATTTATAGAAATAAAAAAATAAATCACGACGTTTCGGAGGCAACACAAGTCTCTGTCATCAGGTGGGACCGTCACAGCTAGATTTACTGTCTCAAGTGAGACAGTAAATCTATTTCTATTATTATTTCAATTATAGTTTTTATTATTTATTTATTTTCCCCTACGTGACTTTACCGAAAAACCTAAGAGTATGAGGAAAACGTATTGGATTAAGTTGAGTGACTTTAACAGCCACCACTTTCATCAGATGCCGAAAAGGATAGGCCATGCACAACTAGGCTACTGAACACTAAAGCATACCCTGCTTTAAAGTACTTTATAAGTAAATGTACGCGAGATTGAGAATATGTAAAAAACGAATGCCGTCACACCATGCAAAATACTGCATTAGGTGCAGGTGGTTAATCAATGAGAGCAGATATGTGATGTCAGATATGGGATAGTTTACTGAAATGTATTTTCAGCTCAAAAGGAGGGAATGATCCATTTGCTTCTGAGTGTTTCCCAAGCCAAAGCAGTGGCCATTCAACAACCCTACATGTTTATTTGATGACATCAGGTACAAAGGTAACAGCCGTTGCAAATATTGCACCACACAGGAAATAGTCACGACCCACACGCCTGACAAATATTTAACAATGCCACGAGCAAGATATTTTATGAGGGGCATACAATTCAAAACATTATGAGTGCAAGTTAATTTATTAACAAGCTTTCTCGGGCCAATTCAATCCATGGGATTTTAACTTCACATCTTAAAACATTTCCCTTTTCGTCCAATTTTTGGCAAAATTGCCTCAGCATCTCCATGGGCCAATTCACCAAACCAATATATTCCGGCCATTTCAACAAGGTGTGAAACTGTCCCTAAATCCATTGGAGTCCCAGCTGTTCTTCCAATCCATCTGTTTCCTAGCTGTAGACACATGCACATAAATGGGCGAAATTGTATACACGTCTGCAGAATCTTGAGTGGATTATTCCAGCCATTAAGAGTAGCAATGCATTGGCAGCAACTTGCTCCACTGCAAATAATGAGACCTGGATAAGGCAGTTTGTTTTTAAAATGTTGGCATTGATTGACCACGTTATTCCACTGCAGCATGTAGGCCTTCGTCCAGTAGTAGATTGCCCATGGGTTGATGATATCATCTATACGGAGCACGAAAAACGTGATTCGATCATCAGCCATCAGCTACCTCTCCCAAGCCCTCCCCCATCGCTCAAGGTCTCGCGATGCAATAATCCATCTCCTGCACACCAGGCGATGTCATCGCTCCATCTCCATGGTGGACGTGCGTTGGAACGCATTCCCTCCTTTGGCTGCTACTCTGTCATTAGCCTCAACCACAAAAACAAATATCGCCCGTACAACCTGTAACAGACTGCTGAATCAAGTGCTGTCAACGAGCACCTATGAAGGCCGGCACGGTACACGAGGGGGTGTTTACTACACACCACTGCACCAGGTACTCATTTGAGGCTGAGTCGACCTAGGGGAGGCCCAGCGCCGGTTCATATAATCGTCAACCACAGGCCATCACGACACGAGCACCTCATTTCACCCGTGTAATCATTACAGCAAGGCAATTTCCTCAACACCAGACAACGCGTGAGTCAATTCTGCCATTTCTATACTTAGCGCATATGGCGCGTTTATGAGCACAACAAAATCTTATTTTGGCAAAACAAAGATCCCACCCCCTCCCCCAGTATAGCCTGCACAGACTGAGGGGCAAGTGCTGTTGGCGAGCAGCACCTGTGAAGGCCGGCACCGTGACCCACGAGGGGGTGGGTGGCACACGAGGGGGTGGGTGGCACACGAGGGGGTGGGTGGCACACGAGGGGGTGGGTGGCACACGAGGGGGTGGGTGGCACCGTGGCCCACGAGGGGGTGGGTGGCACCGTGGCACACGAGGGGGTGGGTGGCACACGAGGAGGTGGGTGGCACACGAGGGAGTGGGTGGCACACGAGGGGGTGGGTGGCACCGTGGCACACGAGGGGGTGGGTGGCACACGAGGGGGTGAGTGGCACACGAGGGGGTGGGTGGCACCGTGGCACACGAGGGGGTGGGTGGCACACGAGGGGGTGGGTGGCACCGTGGCACACGAGGGGGTGGGTGGCACACGAGGGGGTGAGTGGCACACGAGGGGGTGGGTGGCACACGAGGGGGTGGGTGGCACCGTGGCACACGAGGGGGTTGGTGGCACCGTGGCACACGAGGGGGTGGGTGGCACCGTGGCACACGAGGGGGTGGGTGGCACACGAGGGGGTGGGTGGCCCACGAGGGGGTGGGTGGCACACGAGGGGGTGGGTGGCACACGAGGGGGTGGGTGGCACCGTGGCACACGAGGGGGTGGGTGGCCACTGGAGGGATGAACGATTTGGGGAAAATATCTAATTATGATTTTTCTGACAGATATTGCGATTTGGTTTGCGATAAAAATTTTAAGTCAAGCTTCAGTTCAATATTCACGGTGTAACAGATTTAAAACATGTGATGGAGCATTACCACATGATACCATCAAATACGAACTGCTATATATATTCTAATGGATGATAACTTTAAAAAATATTAATTGCTTCCAATATTTTTCGATTTGAAGCTTTCGTGTCTGCAGGGATTCATTTTCTTGGTTCGTTCGGTAAAGTCACGTAGAAGGGAAATAATAAAAATAAAACATAATAATAAACGTCGTGAAAATGTATTATTGTTTTATTTTTATAATTGTATTATTTCCCTTCTACGTGACTTTACCGAAAGAACCAAGAATATGCTTCCAACATGTATTACATTTTGTTTATTGAAATAGAACAATCAAAAATAGAACAATTGTTACATTTACCGAAATAACCAAAGAGTATAAATAAATAAAGTTATAATAAAAAATAAAACAATTCCAATAAGAAACAGGACTTTTCAAATCGCAAAAAATCGCAGCCTTTGCAATGTGCTAATCGCATTGCTTCAAATTGCAATTTCGATTCGAAATCGATTAATCGTTCATCCCTAGTAGCCAGCACCACGCCCGGCCGCCTTTGTCTCCCCAGTGGCAGTGTTTTTTTGTTTGTCTTACGCACCGCACCAGGTGCTCATTTGAGGCCGAGCCGACCTAGGGGCTGCCCAGGAACGGTTCGAACAATCGTCGCCGTGGTGTTGAATCCAACTCGGGTCGCGGGTTCCGTGGCCCGGCGCGCTTCAACAAGAGACCGGGGGGAGGTGGGAGAAACGCGTTGACCACGACGGTGCTTGAATGGCACCAGACGGGCACACACACACAAGATACTCACGGCCAATCGCCCTGCATCGGTTTGCTGCGAATGTCAGCGAAGAGCAAAGGACGCGACCTGCTCGAGGGCGCAGAGAGACGCGGGCAGGCGACGCACGGAGGGCCTCTGGACTGTGGCCGGGAGCCCAGCTGATCCGGAACCGGATCCCGTGTCAAGCGAACGGGAGGGATCCGGATCCCGTGTTGAGTGAATAGCACGAGATCCTGTGGAGGTGAATGTGGAGGTGAATGTGGAGGTGAATGTGTAGGTGAATGTGTAGGTGAATGTGTAAGTGAATGTGGAGGTGAATGTGGAGGTGAATGTGGAAGTGAATAGAACGAGATCCTGTGGAGGTGAATGTGGAAGTGAATGTGGAGGTGAATGTGGAGTTGAATAGAACGAGATCCTGTGGAGGTGAATGTGGAGGTGAATGTGGAGGTGAATGTGGAAGTGAATGTGGAGGTGAATGTGGAGGTGACTATAACGAGATCCTGTGGAGGTGAATGTGGAGGTGAATGTGGAGGTGAATGTGGAAGTGAATAGAACGAGATCCTGTGGTGGTGAATGTGGAGGTGAATAGAACGAGATCCCGTGGAGGTGAATGTGGAGGTGAATGTGGAGGTGAATGTGGAGGTGAATGTGGAAGTGAATGTGGAGGTGAATGTGGAGGTGACTATAACGAGATCCTGTGGAGGTGAATGTGGAGGTGAATGTGGAAGTGAATAGAACGAGATCCTGTGGTGGTGAATGTGGAGGTGAATGTGGAGATGAATGTGGAGTTAAATAGAACGAGATCCCGTGGAGGTGAATGTGGAAGTGAATGTGGAGGTGAATGTGGAGTTGAATAGAACGAGATCCTGTGGAGGTGAATGTGGAGGTAAATAGAACGAGATCCCGTGGAGGTGAATGTGGAGGTGAATGTGGAGGTGAATGTAGAGTTGAATAGAACGAGATCCTGTGGAGGTGAATGTGGAGGTGAATGTGGAGGTGAATGTGGAAGTGAATAGAACGAGATCCCGTGGAGGTGAATGTGGAGGTGAATGTGGAGGTGAATGTGGAGTTGAATAGAACGAGATCCTGTGGAGGTGAATGTGGAGGTAAATAGAACGAGATCCCGTGGAGGTGAATGTGGAGGTGAATGTGGAGGTGAATGTAGAGTTGAATAGAACGAGATCCTGTGGAGGTGAATGTGGAGGTGAATGTGGAGGTGAATAGAACGAGATCCCGTGGAGGTGAATGTGGAGGTGAATGTGGAGGTGAATGTGGAAGTGAATAGAACGAGATCCCGTGGAGGTGAATGTAGAGTTGAATAGAACGAGATCCTGTGGAGGTGAATGTGGAGGTAAATAGAACGAGATCCCGTGGAGGTGAATGTGGAGGTGAATGTGGAGGTGAATGTGGAGGTGAATGTAGAGTTGAATAGAACGAGATCCTGTGGAGGTGAATGTGGAGGTGAATGTGGAGGTGAATAGAACGAGATCCCGTGGAGGTGAATGTGGAGGTGAATGTGGAGGTGAATGTGGAAGTGAATAGAACGAGATCCCGTGGAGGTGAATGTAGAGTTGAATAGAACGAGATCCTGTGGAGGTGAATGTGGAGGTAAATAGAACGAGATCCCGTGGAGGTGAATGTGGAGGTGAATGTGGAGGTGAATGTGGAGGTGAATGTAGAGTTGAATAGAACGAGATCCTGTGGAGGTGAATGTGGAGGTGAATGTGGAGGTGAATAGAACGAGATCCCGTGGAGGTGAATGTGGAGGTGAATGTGGAGGTGAATGTGGAAGTGAATAGAACGAGATCCCGTGGAGGTGAATGTAGAGTTGAATAGAACGAGATCCTGTGGAGGTGAATGTGGAGGTAAATAGAACGAGATCCCGTGGAGGTGAATGTGGAGGTGAATGTGGAGGTGAATGTGGAGGTGAATGTAGAGTTGAATAGAACGAGATCCTGTGGAGGTGAATGTGGAGGTGAATGTGGAGGTGAATAGAACGAGATCCCGTGGAGGTGAATGTGGAGGTGAATGTGGAGGTGAATGTGGAAGTGAATAGAACGAGATCCCGTGGAGGTGAATGTGGAGGTGAATGTGGAGGTGAATAGAACGAGATCCTGTGGAGGTGAATGTGTAAGTGAATGTGGAGTTGAATAGAACGAGATCCTGTGGAGGTGAATGTGGAAGTGAATAGAACGAGATCCTGTGGATTTCACACCTGATGATTATTGCTTGTATTGCAGTCGAAACGTCGTGAGAATTTGTATTGTTTTATATTTTTTTATTTTATTATTTCCCTTCTACGTGATTTTACCGAAAGAAGAATTATCGAGGCACAAATTCCATTCTTAACGAGGCGTTGCTTTTACTGGGAAACGTTTGAACATGTCCGATGAGTTTCTTTCAGCAGTTGGTCCCACTTCTCCGATGATGTTCACAGCTTTCCGCTCCCTCTTCATGCATACTGCGAAGGGCAGATAAAACCTCCCAGGAAACATTGCAACGTTGCGCCAACCTTAGCCCATATTTATACATTAAAAAAAACCCCGTATAGCTCAGGAATCAGACCGTTTCTTAAATGAAGAGGAGGAAGTTCCAGACGTCACACTGGATGAACCCAGAAAACACGGAACATTTAGGAATTTTATACAGGTTGATACAGAATTCTAGATTTGAAGCTTTCGTGACTGCAAGGATTCATACTCTTAGATTTTTTTTCGGTAAAGTCCTACGTGACTTGATACGGAATATTGGGGCCAACGTTCCATGTTTTCTGGGTTTATCCAGTGTGACATCTGGAACGTCATCCTCTTCATCTGAGAGCCGGTGTGATGTATAACATTTCTCAAATAATGTTAAATGTTCGATCTATATAATAGATTATAGATCCATCGCTCTTCCTAGGGGGAGCCGCTACCATTTGTGAATAGCCAACCATCATCTTCATGCTGCTGCCACCGCTTACTATGACGTCTTCTGTCACGTGATGTATTTTATGAGACATTTTTTCTCATTCGAGCCTTTCTATGTGTTAAAAAAAAGAACGCGCGTGTGTTTGATATTCAGTGCCATCAGACGTAATTTGCCATTACTCACTTTCGTTTACATAATAAACGTACGGTATTGGTAATTATCAGGCTTGAGATTGTCGCATCTTGTGACTGTTTTTTACTTTACGTAAAGGGTGGTCCAGATGTATCGTGACCCTCACTTAATTCTCTAAAAGTCAATGTTTTTTTTTTAAAGTAAGGTTTATTTAAAACAGAAATAAATATGTAATAGGCAAAACAAATATTATTTGGTTCTTTCGGTGAAGTCACGTAGATATAAAATACTAATAAATAAAGTGAATAAAAATAATAAATAATAAAATACAAATAATAACAAAAAATCTGTCTACATTAGTGCTTTTAGTTTTTATTATCTTTATTCACTTTATTTTTAATAATTATTTTATATCTACGTGACTTTACCGAAAGAAACAAATAATATTAATTCCTGCAGTTACGAAAGTTTTAAGTCAAAGGGAAAACAAATGTTGAGGGTCAATTAATTGGGGGAGGGGGGTCACAGGACATCTGGCCCAACCTGTACAGCGTTTGGATAATTTTGGTTTCGTTCTCTAATTGCCACTGAGTGTCTTATTTCTTACCCCCCCCGCCCGGTCCGTACTTTCTGTACTGTCCCCGTGCCACTCGTCACAACCACCGGAGCCCGAACTAAACAAATAAACAAACAAACGCCAATTGCATACAACTTGCAGCGTTTCGACACCGATCCGATTCCGCCCCCAAACCGCCCGAGACGATTCCCCCCGCACGCATAGCGCGAACGTAGAAAAGGAATCGATTACACTGAACCGACCGTCTAAAATCGACGAATCGATACACGCCCATCGAACGCCGCCTTCGGCAGTCGAGTTAATAAATGAGTAGCGCGCTCGCGGCAACTCTCCGTTCGCGTGCGTGGTGCGCCGATTAATCGCGAACTGATCGATCGCCCACGATTGTTCGCTTGCTCAGAGGGCAGCGAGCGAGCGAGCGAACGACCGCCGCCGCCGCCTGAGGATGACGGCTTGCGTCCGCTAAGAGCCACCCCCGGACACACAAGTCGCCGTGGCGATGTCTGAGTGCGCGCAGTTGGCTTGCGCTGTGTGCCGGATCGGCCTCTACTCGGTAAGGACTTCGCCACGGATTGTTTTTGTTTTCCTTTCCGCTTTGCTCGTAATCATTTCCGCGTGATTGGGTCTCATGTATTTTTTTCTGTTATTTTTAAAAATATATATTTGTGCCGAGGCCTAAACAAAGCGCCGGTCTCTGATAGATGTCCAAGCCGGGTTCTCTGCCGCCCTGGCCGGCAGGGTGAGGTGACCCCATTCGCCCCCCTCTTCCTTTGGTTCTATGTCCTCATTGGTATTTATCCACATAGTATTTCTTTGAACCCTAAACTTATACTTAAGATTTGTTGTAGTGTAACTAAACGTCTGCTGGTAATGTAGGTGTTGTTTAATGGTCAATTGATTCAAAATAAACTTGTTGACTCTGCGAATGTGTTTCCAAACACATTTTACAAATCTAAACTAATGCTGTAAGTTTGTTGTGATGTATGTAAACGTAAACTGGTATTGTTTTTCGATTTAAAGCTTTTTCGTGACTGCAGGGATTCATCCTTTTGGTTCTTTCGGTAAAGTCACGTAGAAGGGAAATAATAAAATAAAAATAAAACATAAAATAATTCTCACGACGTTTCGGCTGCTTGCGTTGTGGCCGAAACGTCGTGAGAATTATTTTATTATGTTTTATTTTTTTATTATTTTATGATTTCCCTTCTACGTGACTTTACCGAAAGAACCAAGAAGATGGTATTGTTTTGTTATTTGTCATTTGACACGAAGTTTACCGTGTCTGCTTCACCAGCAAGGTGCCATGTAGTTAGCTCCTTTAAGTCCACACTTGTAAGGTCATTGTGATGTGTGTGAACGTCTGCTGGTAATGTTTGTTGTTATTTGTCATTTGGTCCAAAAGGAACTTGTCTGACATCACAAGAAAGGACCTCTTCTCTTCTGCTCAGCCTTTCTCCCAAAAAGTTATATACCCACTTATTTCAACCCTTCACCTACACGTTATTTTGATTTCATCGCAAGGACGGCTGCTAATGTTTGTGTAGTCACTTGTCAGTTGCTGCTTTGGGGACTGATCTGACGTAACAAGGAAGCACACACCTTGTTTGCTGTTTTCAACATTCCCCTCCCTTGTTTTTGTGCCAAAAAAAACATCGCGAACACTTTACTGCAAAGCCACACTCTCAGTTTATAAGCCACTTATGTGCTTGTGCTGATAATGTTTGTGTTGTGCCGTTTGTGTTTTGTGCCAAGACATTTGCTTCAAAAGCAACTGGTATAACATTGCAAGAACACACCCTCTAGTTCCTCTGTGTTGCTTACTAGAAAATCATCCCATGTCAATTCAACACCCACAATTTAGAAATATTTACTTAAACCTCTGCTGATATGTTCTGGTAACTTAGTATACGGCACTCTAATACGATATGTACTCTTGAAGGAACTCGTCCAATCCCAAACAACATCCACTCTATTTCTCTTATGCCCCAAATCACTTACCCACCAGCTCTCATTCAAAACGTTAAGTTTATTATGCATTTTAACCCGTCACGTTTATGTTTTTGCTGTAATGTGTCACTGTAGTAAACAATTGACTCAAACATGTTTTATGCAACACTGGATGGCCTGTGGAATGATTCACACCCACCATAGGAATGTGGAATTTCTACTCCTCAGGGCTGTAAAATAAGGGATAATCGCCTCCCCCAGTGCATGTTTGAGTGGTATACCACTCAGGATTTTTTGTTGCAGAGAAACTTCCAACATCACAAAGACCTTCCTAAAATTCTGAGTGGGCAAGATGCCAAAACTCAGGCGTTCCATTAGTAACGTAATTATTTGAATAATCTCGGCAAGATCTCTAATTTTACAAATCTGTGATTGTGCAGACACACTCCGCAGTATGCGCTTTATAAACTTTCTGCACTTGTTTTGGTAGAGGCAAGGGTGGTCTTCATCCACATTTTAAAAGTGATCTTGTTAGGTAGGTATGGACCGTTTTATTTGCTGTAACCTCCGATAATGATCTTTCTTTCAAAGGTTAAACGTGTTTGTGCATGTGTTTCATTAACGGAGTGTGCCGGCCGTAATCATCCAAGCCAATAATAGTACTGTAATGCTGTAGTTAGCGATACAATCGCAAGTCAATCTTGTACTTTGAAATACCTAAGCAGGATTGACCCTGGATAGTGTCCGGGTGGTCTATTGACATGCATAAAAACGAGTGTTTTGGGCTGCTGCAGGACCACGTCAGCAGGGGGCAGTATAGCAAAATCCATTGTAATGTAATACGCTCTCATGTCTGTCTCCCTGCCTTCAACTGGCGCTGACCAACGTCGTGAAAACAGTCAAATAACCCCTACGGCCCACAGCGTGGGAAAGCCCTCTTCCAGTAGCGGATTGACAAAATAGTTATATACTAGCTGTACTACCCGGCTTCGCCCGGGACTTGTATCCACCACGGCCGGCCGCCTTTGTCTCCCCAGTGGCGATGTTAATACGCCACAGCAGTTACTCGTTTGAGGCAGAGTCGACCTAGGGGAGGTTCAAATAATCGTCACCGGTGGTGGCCGTGAGCGGGAATGGAACTGGGTTCGCCGGGTTGGTAGCGCAGCGTAGCGTTAAGCACTACACCCACCGCTCCTCACACACCACACACGCACAGACACACACACAGACACACGCAGACACACACAGACAGACACACACACAGACACACAGACAGCACGCTAACCACTACACTACCGCTCCCCACACACCACACACGCACACACACAGACACACACACAGACACACACACACAGACACACACACACAGACACAGACAGCACGCTAACCACTACACTACCGTTCCCCCTACACAACACACGCGCGCGCGTCCATAGGTACACATACACGCGCTTGCTGCAGACACACACATACACACACATACATACACGCAGACACACATACACACAAACACACATACATACACACAAACACATACACAGTGACATGCGTATTCCCATCGCGGGGCACGGGACGTGCCTCCCGGCAAATCCCTCGCAAGCGATCGTACACAGATGGACAGACAACTGAACAGTACGACGTTTGGCTGGTAATTGCATCCAGCATCAGCGAAAGGACGTACTCTGAAATGGGAATTGTTGTGGTTTTACGCTTGTACACACCGGTGGGCCAAAGCAGAGACTTATGAGTGTTTTATCAACGGGACACTTTTTGACTGATTGGCCGTGTGGGGTGGTGGAGGGTTACAACACATTAATAATTAAGGCGAGCGAAAGGCAATAAAGTTATTTTTGAAGAATGGTTGCGAAAGCGTACGTGTTACAAAAAGACTCACTTTACGTAAGAAGCAGGCTAATGTGTACATGATAGACTGTCAGTACAGCCACCCAGAAATATAACCAGGCTACACTGTACATTCTAGAGTGGCAGTACGCTCAGCCAGCTTAATGAGTATTTGTTGAGTGAACATTTAAACAAATCCATTATTGGCGCGTGTGGTTTAAACATAATTATACAGTAGTTTTTTCATGAGAAATGGTAATTGTTGTGGTTTTCCGCTTGAACACACCGGTGGGCTAAAGTAGTCAAGTCTTAGTCTTTTATGAACGTGACAATTTTGTGCAGATTGGGCGTGTCGGGTGGTGGATAAGGGTGACAACACCTTAATAAATAAGGCGATCTAAACGCAATAACGTTGTTTATGAATAATGTTTGCGAAAGCGTACATGTTACAAATTGACTAACTTTACTTCCTAACCAGGCTAATGTGTACATGATAGACTGGCAGTACACCCAGCCAGCTGAATAAGCAGGCAGCAGTCTACATAATAGACGGGCAGTACGCTAAAGCAGCTTAATGACTATTTGTACAAAGAACATTTAAAGAATCGATTATAATAACCAGGCTACAGTCTACATTATAGACTGCCAGTACACCCACTCAGCTTCATAAGCAGGCTAGAGTCTACATGATAGAGTGGCAGTACGCTGACAGAGCTTAATACGCAGGCTACAGTGTACATAATAGACTGTCAGTACGCTCACCCAGCTTAATGAGTATTTGTACAGTGAACATTAAAGTAATCGATTGTTGGCGCGTTGGGTTTAAAAGTAATATTAATAGCACACATTGTGGTGGGGGTGTAGTGAAGAGTAGGAAAAACTTTGATGAATTTACCTCAGAGTGGCGTGGTGGGTGTCGGGGCCTAGTAGCGTGCAAAGCCTGCGGCCTCGCCTAAAATTGTCGACTTGGAAGAGGCAGGGTACGGGTGGCGTTCCTCCCCCCCCTAGCGCGCCAACAATACTGTGTAATGGCTATTATTTAATTAATTACGGAGCTTATGAAAGTGGCGAAGGCGTGGCTAGCGGTTGGCAGGGGCAACCGCCGTCCAATGAAACTGCAGCCCTTGGCGAAGGCGTCGCTAGCCGTTGCCAGGTCCAATGAAAGCGGCGAAGGCGTCGCTAGCCGTTGCCAGGGGCAACCGCCGTCCAATGAAAGTGCGTATGTTCCGGAGACACACGGACACACAGACAGACAGACAGATTCACGATTTTATATATATAGATGCACACTTCGTAATACTATTATAGAATGTTTGCCAGCTATTGCACTCTGTTCTGTATGTATTTTGTAAGTGTGATTTTAACGTTCTAAAGTCATTCATTCATCTGTTTTGACCAAAATATTTAACCTTGTGGTTTTTGAAAAGCAATGTGATCAAATCACAAGAGAAAGTAAAAGGTGCACGCTTACAACACATTCATTGCAGGCATTTAAGGAAGTATCCATTTAACATTTAGAATGTAAGAAGTTAACGCAATGGAAAACATATTTCGTAAACAGTGTACGAACGTGTCGGACACTAAGTTGTAATTATTGACTCGGTGTGGGCTTCTATGGGCTTTCATTATGATTTTTCTTAATTTATCCAGTGGCCTAATAGCGCCACCTGGAGCATGTGCATTCAGTTTGATGTATTAGGTATAACCCTGTGAGCCATGCGGCTCTTGACTCGGTTGCAACCGCAACAAAACAAAAACATGAACAAGAAACATCTTAAAGTGATTACACACAACAGAAAAACCCAGGAGAAAACAGCAAAGTCTCCCAGAACTTGCTTTAAATTAACTTTGTGTTTTTTTTCAGAATAAAGATATGATTGGTTTACACAATTTGTAGTTTGCGATTATGTTACCAATTAAAGTCTCTTCCTTTATTCTGTGCGGACCATATATCGTTTTTTTGGAATTCAGCAGCTTATGTGATAATCTACAAAGTGGCAGCGGAGTTCCGTTGCTTGGGGAGCTTAAGAACGAACATAATTGGATATATCCTTGCTAAGTTTAAAGCTTCCTGTTGCCACGATTAAGCAACGCCTGTGAAGCTCGTTCTCGAATTTAAACAACAACTAGCTATACAAACAATCTAAATGGAATGTAATTCTTTGTTCGTCTTAACATAGTGTAACATCTCCTTTTCCATAAGTTCTAATTAACCTAAGCAAAAGGAGGCGGTGTGCATCACGAGACTTGAGCAAAAACTGCAGAGATCTTGGGTTTGAATCTGGGGAGGGCTCGTGATTTAACTAGGTTCTCAAGTATAGTCTTAATCTGTGAACCAATGACCGCACAATATACCTTAATACGTTTGCTTTGTCCTGTAACGTGGCAATATTCCAGCACTGATAATATAATTAAACAAATATTGCTTTGACGAACATTTCTCTTTAGCACGATGTGTTGGGAAAGTGCAGCGCCCCAATGTGGTTACAGTTGATTACATGAAGTACTCGCGTGAAGGAATTTCAGATTTATTTTTTCAACACAGGATGATGCTGTTGTCTGCAAGAGCCACCACATAGGCAATGTGTCTCATCACATGATGCCTATAGCACAATGGGAATACAATTGGTAAAAAAGACAATAATTTAGGGAAAACTTACACGGTGTAGGTAATTGCTTAAAGTATATGCTTTTTAAAGTAAAGTCAATATATTACTTCGATGAATTCTCATTTGAGTAAATTATTCATATGTGGGTTAATGTTGCAAAGTGCAACATATCTTAATGCAGGCGTTTGCATGTTGAATTAATATATGGGTAGTTAAAGTTCATTCTAGATTTGAAGTTTTCGTGACTGCAAGGATCCATACTCTTTGGTGATTACCGAAAGAAGCAAAGAGTAGGTGAAGTTATTAATCGGCAGATGTTTAGAAAAACAATGTCCCCTTTTATTACTAATGGCCCTTGATGGTAACATTTCGGCATAGGTTAATTAATTTTACCTATGTATCAGGTTGAGATGGCCAGTGATAACTATCTGTCTCCTGGGTTTTGACTAACATCTCTTGGCAATGTGTTTTTCATGTAAAGAAAAAACATGCGTGTAACATATTCCTTGGGTCTTTCGGCAGAATATTCCTACAGTCACGAAAGCTTTAAGTCAAGATTTATGCGTGTACCATTTTAGAAATATTTTGGGTCATCCCTACAAGGTCACGAACGCATGTGCATACAACGAAATGGGCATCTCCATGGGTAGGGAATATATATATTTTTTACGTCTTCTCCTAATTGTGCGCTCTATTGGAGCCACTAGAGGGTGCTGCATATTCAGGTATTGAAGGATCATGCTTTGCGAAATGACACCAGCTTACCAGGGAGAATACTGGTAAACTGGTATTGAGAACCCGAGCCTTGCATATGACGATCTGCTCAAGTATATATTTTTCATCAGTGTTGAATTTCTTAATCGATGAAAACGGATTATAAAAGTATTACATTATCTATTAGAATGGATTCCTTGGAAACCATTTCAAAATGGCTTAAGCGAGGTATCCGTCCTCCAAAACACTGGAAGCACCCCGCGGTGCTTGCCCACCATGACTCGGTAATGACAGGTGATGGTGGTCACGTCACTAATCCCTGCTCATATCGACCTCCAGTCTGGCACTATCATTTATGCAAATGAAAAAAATGTACGCTTTTAAAATGTTGATTAATAAAAGCATTAAGCAGGCTATTGAAATTCATGAATGTAATGTTGCAGCTCAACTTTGCATTGCGTGGTCGTGAACCACTGCAGTGTTAAAGACTGCTGTGTGTCTTTCTGCTGTGCTGCCCTGCCCCGGGATCAGTGTTACAGGGTCCTGTGTTGTAAGGGCCCCCCACCAGCTCGCCCGGAGTTCGACGTGGTGTGCGTCGGCATGACTGGAGCCGGCAAAAGCACTCTGCTTGCGCAGCTGTGTGGAGAGAGCATCGACGACATCCTTCCCACCGCGGGTATGGTCACGCATGGCAGTGTGTGTCTGCAAGACTCTTTGGCAGCGTCTAGTGGGCAAAAGATCTAAACTTTGAAAGATGTGATGACGTTTAAAGCAAGAGGTTGCAAAACAAACGAAAACACTTTATTGTACAGTTAAGCAAAGCTTTGTGTCCCTGGTGTGACCCGAGTTTGACGCTTCGTTAATGAGAAAAGACTGTTAAGTTAATGTCAAGCTCTTTTTTTATGGAACTCTCGTGATATCGCTCAAGTGATATAACGGAGTGCTTGACCATGATTTTAAAGCCTTTTTTCGTATTCATGAAGCTTCAAACCCATGTCCCATAGTCCGAGATGCACACTGTAGGTACTTATCTACAAGAAAAATAATTATTAGTTTTTTGGGGTTCTGTCTTACTGTAAGGTACAAAGGTAAACAAGGATGTCACCTTGCTGTGATAATTTGTGTGCACGTACAGAACAAGTCACATTTGTAAATGGCCTGAAGTTAAATAGGAGGAGTGAATTTAGAACATTTGTTTTAAGTCACAGTTCATGTCGTGTGAACTAAAAGCAGGGGCTTTGTCATTGCAGATATATCATGGCTTTGTGGATAAGATTGACTTTTTTTAAAGTACTGTTTCCATGGATAGGCACACTTGAAAAAAATAATGGTGAAGTGCAATTTGGAAATGTTAACTGTTGCACAAACTGCTCCTTACCACATGCTTGTCTAATGCAAAACACTTGTTGTAAAGATCGCTCTGCTTTTCTGCTACTTTGCCAAGCTTAGTTGTATGCCATAAATCTATTAACCCTTTACCTACCGCGGTGCCTGGGATGGCCCTACACAGCTGCCATCTGCCTCTCGAGTGCTTCAGCTGCTTGATCCTGGCATGCAAAAATATGGCAAACATGTCTGGGTTGAGGCACACACTCTACTGCTTGCATTCATTCAAATTTACGGCACTGGTATGCATTTCAAATATATTTTTCAATTTATTTTGGGAAGTCTTTTGAAAGGTTTTATTTCCATGAAGAATTTTTTTTTAAAGAGCCAGCAGTGTTTTTTTTCTAAAACTTTATTCCAGTAGTAGTGCTGGTGTCATGTCATGACACACAGAAATTTCCATTCAAAAGTGTTGCAGTTAATGCACCACCTTGCATCAGAGAAGAGTCCTTGAAGATGACATAGATCGACTTCCGAAGTCCCTTTAAAGGGCCTCTTTATCCAAACTTTGCCCACATGTTTCTTTGCCCTTAGTAATGTTTGTTGCATATCAATAAAATAAAAATGTGTGTATTCTAAATAGCTGGAATAAGATTAAATAAATGACATCAAATGTTATGGCTGACACCATAACTTTACCACACTTGAGGCCATGGTTTAATCTGGGGTGGTTGTCTGGATATTTTTTCTAAAACTTTATTCCAGTAGTAGTGCTGGTGTCATGTCATGACACACAGAAATTTCCATTCAAAAGTGTTGCAGTTAATGCACCACCTTGCATCAGAGAAGAGTCCTTGAAGATGACATAGATCGACTTCCGAAGTCCCTTTAAAGGGCCTCTTTATCCAAACTTTGGCCACATGTTTCTTTGCCCTGAGTAATGTTTGTTGCATATTAATACAACTAAAATGTGTTTATTCTAAATAGCTGGAATAAGATTAAATAAATGACATCAAATGTTATGGCTGACACCATAACTTTACCACACTTGAGGCCATGGTTTAATCTGGGGTGGTTGTCTGGATATTTTTTCTAAAACTTTATTCCAGTAGTAGTGCTGGTGTCATGTCATGACACACAGAAATTTCCATTCAAAAGTGTTGCAGTTAATGCACCACCTTGCATCAGAGAAGAGTCCTTGCAGATGACATAGATCGACTTCTCAAGTCCCTATAAAGGGCCTCTTTATCCAAACTTTGGCCACATGTTTCTTTGCCCTGAGTAATGTTTGTTGCATATTAATACAACTAAAATGTGTTTATTCTAAATAGCTGGAATAAGATTAAATAAATGACAAATCAAATGTTATGGATGACACCATAACTTTACCACACTTGAGGCCATGGTTTAATCTGGGGTGGTTGTCTGGATATTTTTTCTAAAACTTTATTCCAGTAGTAGTGCTGGTGTCATGTCATGACACACAGAAATTTCCATTCAAAAGTGTTGCAGTTAATGCACCACCTTGCATCAGAGAAGAGTCCTTGAAGATGACATAGATCGACTTCCGAAGTCCCTTTAAAGGGCCTCTTTATCCAAACTTTGGCCACATGTTTCTTTGCCCTGAGTAATGTTTGTTGCATATTAATACAACTAAAATGTGTTTATTCTAAATAGCTGGAATAAGATTAAATAAATGACAAATCAAATGTTATGGCTGACACCATAACTTTATCATACTTGAGGCCATGGTTTAATCTGGGGTGGTTGTCTGGATTTGAACACAGGATCTCCTAGGGTTCAGAAAACCACTGCTTTTAATTATGAATATGTTGTATATATTGTTAATGAATGATAAATATGTATATACGCGAGTTCTCGGCAGAATGTTAACACAATTTGGACAGTTATTCTTTTGTTTTTGATTTTGATTTTCATGTGCAAGGAATTAGCTGTTTTTATTAACTTATTTAGCTGTCTTGCTTTGGCTGATGTACGGATGGCCACGGAAAGGCACGCATTAAACTGTGATCTGGATGGGCCGCATTGTTCTCCAATGATCAGTGGTCAGCAGTAATGAGATCTGCAAGACAGCTGAAATTCCACACCAGGGTGAATTAAAAAACAAGAACACAAAATCTCAATGAGCTGTACAATCACCTGTTATTTTAACAGTATCCATTCAAACATTGTCAGTTTTGCTTGCGTAATCCACCAATGTTCAAATCCTCTTTCTTAAAAGTTTATTTTAGTAATAACCTGTTCTGGATTAGTTCCTGCCTGATAAATGTATATTTAGTGTTATAAATTGTGTAGATTATATTTGCATGCATATTTGCATAAACAATGCAGGAATTAACCCATTTTTGTTATGTCAATTTTTTTTTACTTTAAGGCAATCTAACGTGATGTGTTCGTTTTTCAGGTTTTAGTATAAAGGCCATCCCACTGCAAAATGTTATCCTCAATGTGAAGGAACTTGGAGGTAATTCATGAAAAAAGTATTTTTTCTCTTGAAATGTAACTCGTTTATAAGGCACTTATTTGCCATTACTTTTGCTAAAATATTGCTCGACTTGCTAAGTTTTTGCAGTCGAGTAAGTGCATACCAAGAGTCGAATGTTTGGGATCATTTTTCTACAGGGTAAACTATCATAATCAAAACAGGGCTCCATTCATGTTATTGGCAACAAGCATGTAACCTTTTGCAATGTGCCAGTTACAATTGTTTTAAATGTCAAATGTCACATGGACAATATAGGTTTTCCATTTGTTACGGAACATAATGGGGAAGAAAAAAAATACTTCCCAGACCAATCTTGAGGAATTCATTGAAAATACATTCACCACAGATCACAAGAATTGGCAATAATGGTTTAGACTGCACAATTGTAACTGTTAACAAATAATGCTATTATTGCACTGGCATGATCGTTTTCTATTCGTCTTTGGGTAGAGTATCATGATGTCCATCTAAATATTCACACTGATGTTAGGCATACAATCACCAGTCATTTTAACAGTATCCATTCAAACATTGTCAGTTTTGCTTGCGTAATCTACCAATGTTCAAATCTCCTTTTTCAAAAGTTTATTTTAGTCACAAACTTTGGTATTATTTAACTTGTTTTGCTTTACAGGCCTTTATTAATCCACTGCTGGTTGAAGGCCTCTGAATACCGTGTTGGTCAGAAACGATATTTGACTATACATCACCACGCTAGTCAGTGCGGGTCAGGAAACTCGGTATTTGTTGAGATATAACTTGTCACTGATGTCAGCCATTGCCACAAATCGAACTCTTGTGGTTGGGGTCATCGTAGAGTGTGCAACCACTACTACCACTCCAATTCCCATGAAGTAGTCAATGTTTTTTTGGTCGATATAAATTGGCTTGTGTTATGTGGGTGTTTTTTTTACTTGTGTTAATTTTGCTGAATAGTTTTTAGTATTTGCCATTTAAAAAGGAAAAACGTTTGTCACGTGGCACTTTTATATACCTTGTTTATTTAAACATTTTATAGACAGCACTTTCAGATGTCTGAACATGTTTATTGCATCGGAAGGAACTCCATGTCATAGGTTTAGTGGCTACAGATGTTTTACTTTGAAAAACTCTTTTTCCCTTTCCTTTTCTTCCTTACGTCAACTTTTTCTTCTCAATGACTTTTTACGCATTGAAGTATGTGTCCTCACGTGCACATTTTATAGATTGATTCGACTTGTGAGACAGCGACATCCTCTACCCCCCCGCCCCCCACACTGCTTGCAGTCTTGGAGAAAGACGTTACTGTGCTCCGGTAGGTGGGGATGCGATCCGCAAATATTGGAGCCGCTACTACCAGGGTTCGCAAGGCCTCATCTTTGTACTGGACAGCGCGGCAATGGAGGACGACCTGGAGGTTGCACGCTCCGAGCTGCACGCCGCACTGCACCATCCGCAGCTCTGCACCTTGCCCTTCCTCATCCTGGCAAGCCACCAGGACAAGCTGGGCGCTCGGTCACAGCAGGAGGTAAATCCCGGCCACCGGCCACAGAGTCTGGTGGTGGGCCCTTGCTTTTTTCCACAAAAGAGTCTCCTTGCCGTGTCGCGGGATTATTATCCCACGGGAAAATTGTTAAGGTTCTGAATGCGGAGCGATTCGTAATGCCTGTCACATCTTTTTACCGCTCGCTGCCAGGTGGAAATAGATAGTGTTGTGGGAATAAAACTTTAAATGCCCTTTTCTAAAGGCAGGTATTAAATCTATCATTGCAGGTCATTTTTAGTTGTGATATCTCCGAATAAAATTGCAATGGAGCACCGTATACGCAATTCCCTAAGTTTTCCTGTGTGCATGTATATCGTGGATTTGCAGGTAACTTGTAGGAAGTTTAGGAACACATCTATTTCTGATCTATAACGAGTGCAAGGTGTTGCTGTAAACCCATGGTTTTTAACTTGCTTTACACAGCACTCGCACTATGCTGTGGTGCATGTTATGGTGTCACATCAAGGAGGAATTTGATCTCCCAGCAGGCAGATGAATGATGGGCTTGTGAAGCTTACGGTGTCGGCATGGGGGGGCCTTGGGCATACAAGGGTTTACGTAGTGTTTTTTTTATTCTGTCCAGACAGGCTATTTCAACTCGTAACACTTCATGACAAATGATCAATGGCAGCATTACTTGGCATCAACAAAGTATAGGAATCTCATTGTCCCTCAATAATTTTACGTGTTAAGAGGTTTTTTTTAAAGTCCTAAAATAAATGTCAGCTCCTTGGTCAAGGTATTGAAATGGTACAGCACAATAGCATACTTTTGAATATGGTTATGGTATGTATGTCTGCTGTAGAGTTATTTTTTAAGGGGTGGGGTGGCTGTGAGTGGTTGGGGAGGAAAACGGTAAAAATCATGTATATGGCATGGATTGTTTTTGCCCTGTAGTGCATAAAATTGATTTTCAGGTCTCCTATCAAGTGGTTATGTGCAAACAGTATATCATTGTTGCTTTGATGTCTGTTATGTAGCTGTGGGCCAAGATTGGAATACAGTAAAGCAGTGATTCAGTATTTATTGTGATGTTTCAAAAACAAAGTTTCAAAATCTCACTACTTTTGCCAAGTTCTAATGTTGACAGTTTAACTCCATTGTCTGTCTCATGGTGGTTTGTGCTGTCTGAGCACGTGCACACCCACTTCTTTGTGTGTGGGTTGTGTACATTAACCCCATACACACACCACAGTTAAATTCCTGTCTGGTCACCGTTAATCAAAAATATTACATTTGAATGGAGCCCAAAGTACAATTGATTTGTTAAAAACAGGCGCGTATCATAAATACAGGTTGCTAACCATAACGACACATTTATATTTACGCAATCGAACCCAAAATACCTTTATTATGGATGATATTGGCCGCGCGGAAGCCTACGTGTTAACCTGATAGGTGGCTTAGTTAGGTCTGCACGGTCTGTTGAGCTTCACTTTCCACGTGATGCTTTCACCTGTCCTGCATTTGGAGATGCTGTTGTTTCGTGCGTTTTCCCACCAAGCTTGATATTTTACAGTGATCAGGAAGTAACCTTGTCAGATTTAACCTCCATTATCCGACCCACTTTATGTTAGGAATGCTACAATTCATCAATCGGATTAAAATCGATTTTTAAGCTCATGATACATGCATCAAATAGTGCATCCAATGAATTTATATTTACACCGTATAAATTACATGTTAATATACTTTTCGACAATAATATATGAAACTGCAAATCAAAATAAGGCAGTGCAAACAAGACAATACTGAACTCTTCTCAATTATTGCATTAATGGCCATAATTGTTTATACTCTTTGGCTTTTTTCGGTAAAGTCACGTAGGTAAAAAAACGACAACAACAGTGATTTTGGCTGTAACGGTTCCACCTGAAGACCGAAGTTTGTGGGGCCTCCGAAATATCGTGATTTAATTTAGTTGTTTGCATTTATTTTATTTTTTACCTACGTGACTTTACCCAAAAATCCCAAAGAGTATGAATTTTTGCAGTCACGAAAGCTTCAAATCTAGAATCACAATTGTTTAGTTCCATTTAATGAATCGCACCTCTGTCATGGTCATGTTGCGACAGAAAGACAGTGGGGGACATCAGGCTTATAATATGGCATACAGGTAGTCAAATAGATACTGTCCTTTCAGTTGACTGAGACACAAGCATGCAAAGCATATACAAGCTTTTCCCACAGCCTGCCACAACTCTTGTGTCTCTTCTTGGAGTCTGATAACAGCCAGACCTTGCGTGTCCATAGAGCCACATTTTGGAATTTACACTGGATGACGGCTCAAAGCTACATCCTTGAAATAACTTCAGATTATTTGTACTGTCTGGTGCTACAGCATTTATATTTCCATAGATTTACTCTGAATGCGTTGCTTATTCATGACACAAATCACGACTGATTTTAACCATCAACAAGACGCGCTAACACCGAGCAAGACTCTCAACTCTTGTGACCTTAGTTATGGTCGTAAAAGATAATGCCAGGTGAAGAACAGTGTACGTCTCTTGTCTACACAACAGTTCTCGGCTCCAATATCACTTTTTTAAGAGTGCACAATTATTTCAAGTGACTCGTCACACTCATTCTAGAAGTAACAAATAAGAAAGTGCGAATGGAGTTACATTTGCAGTGAAAGAAGCCAGATGCAAACACAGTCCTGCTAAGTGCCATTTCCTCGTCGGTACTAATTGATTTACCTCGGTTGCCAGCACATCATCGGGCCGGTCTTTGCCACATTTGTTTTGGATTCTAAGGAGTGCTTAGTAATTGGCAAACATGGCAGCTTCGGCTGAGTGGTATGTCTCGTGTCTGCGTGTTGTGGGAAATGGAGCTGAGAGCATAAAAATACTTGGGGAGGGGGGCATGGGCGACTCGCAGTTTTGGCGCTATTTGGTTCTCGTGCCACACCAAATGTGTGATGTGTGATCTACCTAGCCCAGCAGGGGAGGAATGGGATTGCTGGCTACCATCGTGATCCGAGCATGGGTCGGGTGGGTCACTCTAACCTGCCATGATCTCATTGGTTGCTGGACTCTCCAATGGCCAAACCAGGTGCCTCGCCAATGGGAGCAATGCGATCGCCTTTTGAAGTGGATGAAACGTGTGTGTTTTGTTGTTTGTTCGACGATGTGTTAAAGATGAACGCTATAACGAGGCAGAACTTTGGCTTTGAATCTTTATCTAACATTTGTTCCCCCCGGAGATGTTTTAAGTACGAATGCGCATTTGCAAGTATGAGAGTGTTTCTTTGGTTGTGCATGCTTGTTAAAGTATGTTCTCCCTCACCTGATTTTAGCATGGTTGGCTACGTGCGGTGCAAAAGAAGTTCAACATACATTCATACATATAAGCCAATGCATGCACAAACGTTGTTTTTTTATGCGCGAGTGTGTTTTGACATGTGGTAGAGCAGATTTGACAGTTTCCTGCTTTCATACATACATGGGCACCTTCATTCATGCCCCCCCCCCCCCCATGTATTATGCTTTTATTTCCTTCACACGTGATTTTCTCAAGACAACTTATGCATTTTTGTCAATCCACTCCTGGATGAGTGCTAACCCGAGGCTGTACAGATTGTGGGCTGACCATACCTGACAACATTGCTCAAGTTATATTTATTTTGTTTAACCAGTTGAACACTCGAGACCACTATAGTCTCATTTGCAAGAGTGACTAATCACCAAAAGGGGCAAAGCAAATAAAATAAAGTGATAAATTCCCGAGAAGGTTAAGTCGGCTTGGCCAGATTCTTTTTAGATTGATCACAGGAAAATTAAGTTACAGAAAATTTAAACTCTGTACGTATGTTGAACTTGTTTCACACCGTACGTAGCCAACCGTGATAATCGGAGGTGCGGTATTTATGGAGGCAGGGAACATAGAATTACAGTACAACATTGGATTTTTCTGCACTGCTCTCTGCTGCCCAAAGCTTCGCCTTGCATCAAGTAACTATCATGCATGGCGGTCACCCATTCAAGCAATATCCTAGCTCAACCCTCCTTAACTTCTGAGATCTGATCAGATCGTGCACAATAAAAGGCATTTACTCATGGGTATACATTTGTATCTACTGTAATATGTTCGTAGAACGGTTTTTTAAAAGATATAATTAAATCATTGAATAAAGGCAACAAAAATGATTTTATATCCAATGCTGACTAGCTTGCAGATGAAGAGACTGAGTTTAATGCATGCATTTTAGCTAATGTTTATCACATGTGCAGGCCCTTAAGATCTTTCCGCTTATTACATCTGTGGACATGAAGCCGTTACAAAAAATCTTTCGTCAACTTCCAAACATACGGAAGAGCTCTTGAAGTCATGTCTAAGCCAAACCCCTAGCCTATTCTCAGTCAAGATTGGCACGCAAACAGCTGAAACGGCAATAAAATGCAACAGAATCTCATTAGCATTCACAAATGTTAATTTGTATTTTTGTTTCTACAAATCTTTTTTAACTTTCAGGTTTTGGAAGCTGACACACAGCCTAGTTGGTGGTGTCTGCGCAAGACGGAGAGCAAAGTTGCAGATGGTTGGCAGAAAGCCCACAAAAAATGCTCAGACAGGCTAGCAGGTTGTCAGACGAGTGAGCAAGCACGCCGCCAATCGTAGGCGCGAAAGATGAAGGGGGTTTGCCCCCCGCGCCTGACCGTACATATTACAAAATGATTTTCCGGCAGCTCACACTGTGCAGACTTCACATGACACCTTTGCGCGAATAAGAAGGAAAATGTTGCTTGGTTAAGCTCGTTTGGGTGGGACAAATTTTTATTGTAGGACATTGAATCTGCAGTGAAATCGGAGATGTCGTAACACAAAAGTGATTGAGGATGTCATAGTTAGCAATGGGAATTTGTAATCCGCAAAAGTGTTGGATGATTGGCAGTTCACAAATGGCAGCGGCATTAAATATGTGCAGTAATTATTGTGTTCACTATTTATTGCATCTTGTAACATTCAGTTTTGTTATA